TGTGTGTGTCTGTGTGGTTTTGGCTCTTTTTGCATCCCTGTTGGTCACCTTTGATATTGTCTGTTTATAATATCCTCTTAACATCGCGGTGTCAACATGCAGCCGGGTCACTTACAAAATACGTTGATATACTTCTAATTTGCTTTGCCAAAGAAGTTCTGGAGGAATTGTGATTGCTGCCTGGATTATGTTTACCGGCCATTTGTGTACTATCCAGGAAATTTGTTGTCTGTTTCCTGCACTGAAGTCTTAGTGAGGAGATTGGGTTGGGGTGGTTGGGTTGCTTTGACACTGGAGAGTTGGGTTCACATTCTGCATCTTCTGTGTTGTTAAATTTTGGCTTAAAATAGCATTACTATGGCAACGCATTTGCTCTAAATGTCAAAGCGTTGCCTATTTGGATATCTAACATATACAGAGTAACATTAGCATTCATTTGGGGTCATTTCCTGGTCATCTGGTGACGGCAAGTTCAATATTCATTCTCTTTTAGCTCCGTTTTTGGTCTCCACATTCTCGCTCGTCGCCAACTTGGTCACTCTGCAACTTGGTGGTGAGCAGCTAGTCTACAGTGGGTTTATCTTCAGCCTCCTGCGACTGGAAATAATCAATGAGAACAGAGAGTGAACCAAAACAGTTATGTTTTTGGCAGGAAAACCAAAACAATGAACTTAAAGTCATGCAATGCTCCATAAAGCTATAGTGTTGGTGATTATTGTCTGTGGCTTTTCTTCTGCAGGTGACACCTTTCACGTTATATGAAGTCATTTGTAGCTGAGGTCAAAACGCTTTATGTCTTTGTGTTTGTGTAGCAACTTTTTTCAATATTTAACCAAGTCTTCCATCTTTCTCTAACCCTAGCAAAGGTCCTGGAGTTGCCAAAACATAAAAAAACACTAGTTGTGCTTTATTTGGCAGCACTGCCCACTACCCTCCCTCCCTTATTCCTCTTTCCCCTGCCCTTGTTTGTCATTCTGGAGGTGTTTTCTTGTGACCACCTTGATGCAAAAACCACCTTCATCCCCCAGAACAAACAAAAAAAACAGAAAAAACCATTGATTTGCTTTGCACCCTTTGACAGGCTCAGCCACACGTGCCTGACACCATCAGAAATCCACTCTTTCTGCCACATATTAAAAGTTGCTGGCAGCTTTCTCGTCAGCTCTGGTGTCCATCAGCAGAGGCCCACACAATAACAGCATGCACCATTAAGCCCAACGCATCATACTCTGTCTGAGTGACAGCACCACGTGTCTCACCGCTACCCACTCTGTCACACACAGATTGAGCCTGCGTGATGGATTACACAATGGATTATGATGGATTATTAAATCTGGCATTCACACGTAAAACACACAAACAGTCTTTGGCTCAGCCGTAGCAACAGACTCTGACTCGCAGCATTGTGGTTCACTGCAGGCGGAGATCATATTTGTTTGGTTTTACTGGCCTTAGATCAGAGCTCATTCAATCTGACGCTCACCTTCATTATTTTATTTGTTTAACACAAGCTGCGTGTTTCTCATTGTGTGCTCTGGTGGAAACAGGAGAAAGAAAGAAAACAGTTGGGGATGTCACAGTTTGCTTCCTTTGACTGTGACTCCAAATGTGTTGCTATGGAAACTTTGTACATTCCCCTTCACGTCTTCGTCCCTCTCCCACGGCTCTTCATCTCTCTTCTTCTTGGTCAGTTCATTACGGATAGAGAGAATTTGTTCTTGATTAACCTAATTGGATCTGAAAGGGTCTGAATATTTTAAAGGAAAGTGTCTCGTCGTCAGTAAAGCTTCAACTTTCTATTCAAAATTCATTTATGCGTAAGTACATGACTGAATGAATCCAAATATCACCATCTGCCTGAAAACAGAGGAGGTGGTGAATGATATAGAGCAGGAGTGTGTATTTGACCACAAAACCACAGACAGCCTCAGATTTATGATTCAAAGATGGCAATGCATAGCATACTAACTCTTTCTGTCTCTCTTACACGCACACACACACACACACACACACACACACACACACACACACACACACCTTCTTAACCAGATTGAGGCAGGATGAGTCCAAGCTGCATGGCCATAACCATGACAGAGTGATTTAAAGTCACATTTACACACACACACACACACACATTCTACCCTCCGCCTGCAGCACATTCCCACCTCTTATCTCTTTTGCTTTCCCACTCCAGTGAATCTACAGGGTGTTAGCCTTAAGCCCTTAAAGCCACCTATAGCTCCTGTCCCGTAACCTTCACTGACTGCCACCACGGTTACCGCTAATTATGTAGCCAGGGTTTCTGGGAAAGACGAGGAACATGACTGGACAAGACAGGTGAACATGACCTCCTTGAATATGCTACCGTACCTTTCTGCATAGTTAAAGAGAGAAATGAGGGGGAAAAGAAAAACACGTCTAAAATTTTGCAGTTTTTTTCTGACCGAAAACTAAGAAAATAAAGAAATATCACATCACAGTAAGGTCAGATTTTCATTTATATTTATATATATATATACAACAAATATATGACATAAAAAAAAGACAAAATCTCTGGTTCTGATGCTTTTGATGCCTTTTTTTTTTAAATTTGTAAGTCTGACATTGTTATAGGAGAATAATACTAAGAGTGGAGTGCCACCCATTACCCATCTGTCGTCTGTACATCAGCCTGTCCAACACAAGCACCCCAAACAGACCAGTATGCAGTTGCAGTATGCTGTTGAATAGACGGTATAATTCTCACTCTTTCATGCCTGGAAAAAGTGTCTGTCTTTGCTCTCTCTACTCTCACTATTGTAAACCTATATGTGGGTTCATGCCCTGGTTTTGGGGGTTCGCCCAAAGTCAATCTGTATGACCTTTACTGGTGATAAATAATGTGGCTGTAGTATAGCATAAAGAGCAGCACTCCTATTTAACCTTTTTTTTTTTTTTTTTTTGCAGTACAAATGCTTTGGGCAAGATGCCCTTTTGAAGCATTCATTTAAGATAACAATGTTATAAAGCATAGTGGCTGCAAGAGACTTCTGGCTTTATGGGAAGATTAGATTGCTTTAGCCTGGTGGGTTTTCATTCTGTTACAGTCTTTTAATAGTTTATTTGACTCTATAACCCTTAAATCTGGAGTTAGAGGGGAACAATGAGTTTTCTTGACTTCACTCACTTCAATTATTCTTCATTCAGAGTTAATTTGGAAGGAGAAAGCAGAATGATAGTGAATCCGGATATGAGAAGAAATGGAAGAAATGAAAGAGAAACAGATGAGTGATTTAGAAGTTATCAAAAGATTTATTGAGACTGAGCATAATCAACATTAAATTCACAGAAACCAGGCAGGTGAGATTAAATTTCTTTCCCTGTAATATGTAGTTTGCAACATTAGACACTCAATCTAAGAGTGAATCACTGCCATTTGACGATTTGCTGGTAGAGTAGGGCTGCTGTAGATGTGGTGAATCATAAATCAAAAGCTAAGAATATGTTGTGGAGAGATGCTTGACTAGCGTGTGCTCAGGTGATTCAGCTTGTGATTGACAAAGAGCAGCAATGAAAATGTGGATTTGAGAGAGCACAGGTTAAGGAGGGGGTGAAATGAAAAACGATTGCAGGCAGGCTTCAAGAAAAGAGAGGTAAGAGTTTGACACAGAAATTATATCAGAGGAATATACTATATGCACTTTTTTGCCCCCCCCCACCTCGTCCCTCACCCTTCCCCCTGCCTCCTCTGTTCTTCATCTTCTGAGAGCTGCAGCGAAGGGTGGTGTTAAGCCACTTCCAGCCCTCCATCCAAAGCTAATGCATTTCCCTTAAATATTTCAATACGCTCCTCCTCTGTTCTGCAAGGTTGAGTACAAGCTCTCCCTCAGCTGGCGCCCACAGAGGCACACTGCCACCGATAAAATCTTGCCAGGGGTTTGATGTCTCGGAGCGTTTGAAACAACTGCTGAGGACTCACATCGAAAAAGAGGGAGGGATAAGGGAGGATGTGGGAGGACTGCAAGATGGAGATATAGATTATAGATCGAGGTGTTAGTTGAGATGCATCAAATAACCAGTGTATGTTGTGTGTTTGTGCATTTTTATTTTTGTGTGTGTGTGTGCGCTATGATTTACTGCACTTCCTGCACAGATGTAGAGCAGCGGGCTGGCTGATGCAACATGGGGCAAACGTGTATTGTTTGTCAGGTTGTGGTTCTGCTCTGCAAAATCTGCTCTGACAGGCTCTCCAGCGAAGCAAACACGCACGGACACGAAAGGCCTGTGAGCAAACCCAATCCACACATGAAAATAACACCTGAAAAATCCACTTCCCACTTTACAAGCTCTTATGTAAGACAATAACCCGTGTGTGTGTGTGTGTGTGTGTGTGTGTGTGTGTGTGTGTGTGTGTGTGTGTGTGTGTGTGTGTGTGTGTGTGTGTTCCTTTGTCAAACTGTTCAAAGACACATCACAGCAGTGGGGCAAGAGCAGCGAGTGAATCATTCATGGTCCAGTAATTTCAGATCTTCATTATGGAGTATACCTGTCCTCCCTGGTCCTTTTCTTCTTCACCATCTGTCTCTTCATCCCTCCATCACCTCCTCACTCCTGCCATTACACTTCATGGCTGCGGCCATCGTGGGGTTGAACCTAGAGGAAATTAAAAATCTTTGTTGATTTGTCCCTCTCCCCTGTGTGTGGGTGGACATCAATAAAATCATGCACTATGGCCTGACACATGCACACACACAGAAACATACTGTACTCAATATAAAAAGCATACACACTTACAGCCACACATACTTTACTGTATTACAGGCTATACATTTACTCAGGGTGACAAGTAAGCACATAGCCAAACACAGACACCGTATATTCATTAACCTGGGGGGTCACTGCGGTGTGTGTGTGTGTGTGTGTGTGTGTGTGTACCAGCTATCATCCGCCTGGTATCGATGGAGTCTTAAATATAATAAAGACAAATATTGACGTGCTCTCTGTTCTCACATGTGTTCTAGTTGCAGAACCAGCAACAGGAAAAGCCTCATCCTGACCAGTACGTCCCCCACGCTGCCACGGCCGCACTCTCCACTGCCTGGACACATAGGTCAGTATATACAGTGCATATATGTTATAGACACCACACAGTAGCAGATTAAACAGTATGTTGGGCTCATTAGATTCCGTTTTTTAATGGACTATTTGGCTTTGTTTACTTTAATGAGTATAAAATTAAAAAAAAAAAAAAAAAAATGTGATTGAAAAATTAATTATACAGAAACCAGACTTAGAAAGCAGCACTCTGCAGTTGTTGTTTTTACTTCACTATTGGGACTCTGGTGTAAGATCAACCCTTTTCCTCCCTTTTCTGTCGCGGGATTTCCTGAGTTTTACTTTTCTCAAGAGGACAGAGTTAAGTATAGCAGCTGAAAACACAGCGGCTTTGAGAACATGAAATCTGGGTCAAAGTAAATTTAAAGTGACTGTCTTCTTTGCATGAAATCTAGTTGTTTTTTCGTTGAAAATACTCACTCAAAAAGACAACTCTGAGCATCAAAGAGCAACACCGACACCAGCTGAAGATCTCCTCCAGTGATGTAAATTCTTACCTTGCTGCAGTGACATAGAAGTGTACTCCAGGGTGAGTCAGGACACTATGACATGAGAATTTAAACCACTAATGCAGTGGTTCCCACAGTTCCTACAGTGGGTGCCATGACACCATGGGGGTGTCTTAAGGGTTGTCCAAGAGTACCACTAGATTCTTTTTCATTTAACTTTCAACATCAAAATCAAACAAAGTGTTGCCAGATTAAATGGAAAGAACATGCAGCAAATCTCAGAATCACTGCCTAAGTTTACATGCACACTAGTTTCCTGCTTTCTTATCTTGTTTTGATTCATATCCATGTTTAAATGATGGTGCAGTGGTGGTGCAGTGGTTAGGACTGTTGCCTCACAGTGAGAAAGTTCAGGGTCCGAACCCGGGACCCGGGTTTGCATGTTCTCCCTCGTCCCCCTGTTCTTTTGCCTCCGGGTACTCTGGCTTCCTTCCACAGTCCAAAGACATGTGACAGGTTATTTGGTGACCACAGGTGTGAATGGTTGTTTAGTCTGTGATAGACTGGCGACCTGTCCAGGGTGTACCCTGCCCTTGCCCAATGTCAGCTGGGATTGGCTCCAGCCCCTCCGCGACCCTATAAGGACAAGCGGTATGGATGGTTTCTGCTGGTGTGTCGTGACTCTCACCATCTCAGCCACTGTGCTCTGTACCAACATAGAATTGTTTACACGCAACAGTATCCTGGTTTCTGTCTGAGTAATCCAGGTAGCATATCCAGGTTTTAAAAAAACTAGGTCTTATCCAGGTTTTTGAAACCAGTATATGCTGTTTACATGTGCACCAGAACCAGGAAACTACTAGTGCACATGTAGATGCACTCATTGTATCAACAACTCTTAAACACTTCAATATGCAGTCATACTGTAGCTGATGGTATGAGAGCTCACAGTTGTCAGTTGCCAACACTGGTTTTCAAGGTGCACAGCAGTCAGACTTACTGACCATCACAGCAAACAACGCAAAGATTTCTTGCTGTGCAGAGAGCTCTAACAAATGCTGATTCATCTTAGGCCTCTGCACTGTCTGAGACAACCGAACCTCGGGTGGTATAAAAAAAACAAAAACAAATCTCTGTTGAGGTGTGCTATGGAATAAAATGAACAAGATTCTCAGCTGGTGTTCAGTTGTTGTTTAACTAAATCTTTAATATTTAATTCTGCAGGACAGGCTCAAGGGTAAGATTTGGAAGCAGGACTCACAGAGGGTGGTTGTTTTTATCTTAATCATAACAGTGATTTCTCTTTTAATGACTGAATGAACAAAGATCAAATTTTGGTGCCCACCCTCATATTGTTCTCGACATTGGCTGATAAGAATACAATATTTCCTTCAAGGTGACGTGACCAAATGAAATGGAAATGACTTGTAGAGTGTAGTTACCTAAAACCTAAAATGAAATAACTCATAGTGTATGTTTTCTTTTGTCTTCTCTCCATATGTATTTCAACAGGAAGCAGTCCGTTGGACAGCCCGCGCAACTTCTCACCAAGCGGACCTGCCCACTTTTCCTTCGCTTCCTCTCGAAGGTTGGCATCCCTCTTTTCTTCACACAATAAGTCACACAAGGAAATGTTACAAGAACGGTGCAAAGTAGATTACTGGATTATTTTTACACACAGGGTATACACCCACTCTCTCTCTCACACACACACACACACATATATACACATGCAGAATGAAACTGCATGCCAATGCCCTATCTTTGTCCTACACTGTTCCCACCGAGTGTCTGTGTGACAGAGGCGTGACATCAGGCTGAGATGAATGAGGCGAGGTGTCAGGATTTTGCCCAAACGTGTATCCCTCATCGCTCACTCAGAGGAAGTGTCAGACTTGTGGATGGCTGGAGAAGGCCAGAGGGAAGAAAAGTATAATTGGATGAATTGAAAGGAGGGGGAAATTGGTGGCGTGGCTGTAGTTTAATGGTCCATTGCGTTGTTTGGAGCAACTAAAAAAGAAATTACACTAAACTATATTTGAGTTCTGTCCATGGAAAGTGAGAGAAAAACAGTTTTCATTCTTTTTGGCTCTAACATATGTTCTTCTTTTTTCCCCCGCTTTTCTCAGGGCTGATGGTCGTAGATGGTCCTTGGCTTCTCTGCCTTCCTCAGGATATGGCACCAATACACCCAGCTCAACGGTAAGTTTCATCTTTCATTTTTGCACGTCTCTTGTCTCATTGAGGACAAAAAACAATCAGCACAAGAGAAGCAACTCTACTGATAATGATACCAGTACATCAACCATGTGATTCCCACAGCCATCCTGTACTGATTCCAATCTGATACCATTGTTTTGTTTTATCTGAGTTAAAATTTCTGCACCACAGTGTGTGGTACTTTTTACGATAGGTAACCTGAGGCCAGTGAAGTCTGCGGCCCACGTGACTAAATCAGTGTAACTGATCGCTGAAATAACGAGTTTAACTGTATTCAGTGTGGATCAGTCATGTCTGACACACAATTCGTTTGATTAAAGCACACACATGGGGTTTTAAAAAAAAAAAAAAAAAAAAAAAAAAAAAGTATGAACAGGAACAGTGTGAAACCATTGGCAGGAATTTGTATCATTATGCATCGTAGAATTAGGTTTAATAGTGTGTGTGTGTGTGAGTGAATGAGAAGGACATTTAAAAGTGCTTTGTCTTACTTAGGTTGTACGGCACTGTGTAAGTACAGTGCAGTCACCATTCACAGTGAAGAAAAGCCTCTAACATCCGCCTGATGAGGCTTTAGCTCAGGCAGTAGAGTGGGATAGCCATTAACTGCAAGGTCAATGGTGGGATTTAGTAAGACACTGAACCCCAAATTGTTTCCCGTGCACGTGAAAGAATGTGAGTCGCTTCTGGACAAAAAAACATTTGCCAAATCAATGTGATGTCACACTCTCAGAGCCTGCATCAGAGGAGGAGTGTGTTTCCTTTAAGTTCTCCTTTTAAGACGTAACCGAAATGACTGTCTACACCACAGACGTGACTACAGTAGCTGCAACTTCCCTGCATCTGTCGTGTATTATTACTGCAGCAGCCGCTGCACCGTATCCTCACTCAAATGTAGGATGGAGCTGACTAAGTGTGCCCTTGTAACACAAAACTTGTGGCTATCAAACTACACGCCGCAGTTTAGCAGCAGCCTCCTGAGAAGTCCCCCGAGTTACAATGAGAGGCTTCTGGTGCTGCTTTCATTGAGAGATTCCTTCATATTTCCCATCTTCACAGCATGACAAGTGAAAACTCATACTTTCTTTAATTTACATTACATTACATTTGAGAAATAGGAGACACTAAAAGACACTAAAGTGTGGCGTCTGCTTTTTTTTTCTTTCGTTAATTTAGCTGCATGAATTATGAAATCAATGCACAGAACTGTATTTTAGATTTTTCTTCCATTGCTAAATTGATGAGGTGGGTTTTGTATTCTTTGCATGAATATGTATTTCACTCAAAGAATTTATTTGCATATATTTTCATACATAAAATCAGCGTGCGCTATGCTGCATTTAATTCATGTTCTTAACTTGCATCTTCTACTTTAGTTTCGTTTCACTTTGAAAAGATTACACGCCACAGTAGCAGCTAAATGCCATGAGTACACAGACGCGCGCACACACACACACACACGTGCGCTCCTGTGTTCTTTGCCGATTATTTAATAGCATTGTAGTGCTGAAGAACATGCATCACATATAAACCACCAGACCTAAAAATAACTGATCAGTTGCTAAGATATGATCGACCTGATTTATCTGCTGATGATGCCTTTCTTAAAAAAGTGGAGCAGGGATAATTGAAATGAAACATAACCAATTTGTATTTCTGCCTTGTAGTTGCAAACCAGTGTTCCAGTATCTGTTTCTTTATCCATCTCTTTATCCCCAGAGAAGGAGAGATGGATGATAAAGAGGGGCAACAGAGACAAATAAATGTGCGTGTAGGTGGAAGTGAAACGTGTTTTGAAGCAGAGAGACAACAACATTGTCCACTTTTGTCTGAGTGAAGGATGCTTGGAGCATAACAGAATACTCAAAAGGGAATGAACACTGCCGAGGTCCATTTGGTAAATAGTCCATTTGAGAAATGGACCTTAATGTGTATGACGCTCAGGTGGAGGCAAGGTGTTGACTAATAATCCACTCCCTGTACATCGCTGTGCTATCCTGAACACTATCACTGGCTCTGCATCTTTGCTGCATTTCACACACCATTTCTTTCATTGCCCGTCCCTCAGCAGTACATATAGTAGAGACACACACTGTAGGCAAATGATTGATCTCTTTTTGCTGGTGGATGAGGTCGAAAATGGTTTCTCAGTTTCCCCACACTACTCTTCACCTCTTCCCTCCCCCCGTCCCGTCAGGTTTCAGTGCTCTGCTGGTTCTTACATGGGCCATTACTCGCTTGATTAGTTACAGCAGGACCCTTGCATACTGAACAGAGCAGATGAAAGGAGGAGATGTGTGCATGTGTTTGTGTATGTGTGCGGAGGAGTTTCTGTGTATGAAGAGGTAGAACTGAGCTAAAGTTGTGCAGAAAAGCTGCAGGAATAGTCAAAGGTGTAAACAGTTGTTAGCGGAGGTGAGAACGGGGTAAAAGATGGAGCAAGTTCGAAGGATGAAACGTTAAAAGTGAAGAAAACTGCCGACTGTTGGTACATCCCAGTTCCAATTTCCCTTTATTCCCTTTTATTTTATTCCTTTTATCACTCATTTAATTTATTATTAATTTATTAATTTATTTTTGATTCAGTCTTGCAGAGCAGTGTGTGGGATATTCTGAAGTGACACTTTCCAGCGCACCTGCTCTGGAGAATGTGGATATGCGAATACCTTCATTGAGAAAATTTACTTTGATTCACCATCTAGTTAAAATCAGTCTATCTACTGTATGGTAGCTTTAACAATAATCATCTTTGATTATTCACCAGAAAGCATTTCTTTTTATGATCTTTCATTTCTCCCTTTATCTTGCATCATGGATCAGATCGCAGTCAAACTGTGGTTGGACGGATCTGTACAGTACAAGCACAGAGGAAGGTTTTGATGCACGTGTGGACGCTTGAGGCTGTTGATTTTAAGAGAAGGCATGCGTTCCATTTTCTGTTTCTTTAAAACTGTCTTTACTCAATTCCTCTTTCCTTGCCTCTTCAGTGGGAGGGACTAAGATGCAGGTGAAGATAATCTGCATGCAATTAAGGGAATTGAGATTCACACTGTGACGGCATGAAAGGAGCAAGGCTGATATGAAACATTTTTCATCTGTGACAGCCATCTTATCCAATGGCATTTTCCTCCATATCTGAGTACACTCTGTCTCCAGGGAACTTCTTAATTGATTCTGGAGACTGGACTTGCTGCATTCACAACATCATCACTTCAGTGCCTTTCTGCAGCTTGCAAGTGGATAAGACCTGAATGGACTTTCTAATGGATTTTTATAGCAGAAATCGTTGTGTGGCCAAAGCCAACCATGGTGTCCCATTGGGAGATGTGTTCATTAAGCCTCCCATTGATCCAAGCTGGTTTTTTCCCTCCTGTGCTGAGGAAAAGTCTTTTGTTTAAGACCGAATAGCACTGCCGTTAACCCCCCGAGGCGGCAGACACTTAAGGCAGCAGTCAACTTTTACTTGCAGTGACTCTTTCATTCCCTGCAGTCTTTTTCCTCTGTTTTTCAGACCAGATTATTCTGTTTTTACCCTCCTACACTAACTCCTTCTGGATATTTTCCTTGTTTCTCCACCTCTCTATTTTCCTTCCCTGTTCTTTTTAACTTAGTTGCTTCTTTGCTTCAGTTATTTCCACCCACTCACCTCATAGTACACCTTCTCCTCTTCTCTCTTCTCTTCTCTTCTCTTCTCTTCTCTTCTCATCAAGGTGTTCTTGCCATTTGTCGTTTTTGATGTCCTGTTCTCCATCACTGGGTACCTATTTTTAAACATATTGAGGTTGCAGCTGCGACAGAGGCTTTGAAAAAAATCGAACAAAGAGCAGTTCACTTTTTAACCTTGTCTGTTTTTCACGTCTCTCTCCAGTCATCCAGCTCGTCCCAGGAGCGTCTGCACCAGCTGCCCTTCCAGCCGACCATGGACGAGTTGCATTTCTTGTCCAAGCACTTTGGCAGCACAGAGAGCATCACGGACGATGACGGGGGCCGACGCTCGCCGCATGTCCGCCCTCGCTCTCGGAGTCTCAGGTGAGAGCATGGCAGGTCATGGGCAAATGACAGTTTTAGCAAATGAAAGAGTCCCTTACACCAGGCATCTAGCCTACTTTGATTCATGCAATTTGCCCCTAACAGTCTCACATAAGGACTTAGTTGCTGTTTCCTGTAGTACCTGGAGTATCTCTAGTAACAGAAATGTTGCCAGTTACACACAGTTAAAATGATGCTGTGACATTTTTCTTTTAAAAGTACAAAATGCTCATGATTCATTAGTTAAACCATCAGACAGACTTCTAGCTCGTGCCACAGGATAAATAATGTCAACTTTGCTCAAAGCCCAATTTATTAGTAGTTGATTTGTGGAGATTTTCTGGTGAAGAAAAATAAACAAAAACAACCAAAATTCAGCATGTGCAGCTGTTATGAAAGGACATTTAGCAGCCCTTGAAGATTATGAAAGGGGCATCATGTTTTGTTTGCAGGAACAACATCATTCTGTCACGAGGAGACGTAGAGGGCCCTCAATCATTTATTTCAGGCACACAGCTTTTGTTGCTTATCTTGTATAATTCACCCTCTGCGTATGTGTGTGTGCTGTTAAATGCTGTTGAGGACGAGTCAGTGTTTCAGCCCTTGTTACAGACAATTTCTTTTTCTAGGATTTCTAAGCATTTCTTAGAAAGCTTCATGGAAATAATATTTGTTACTTGTTAAATCTATACATAGTGTATACTATTTAAGTTGAAGTTTTGTCATCTGACAGATGTGAAAATGTGTTTCCTATGTGTCTGGATTTACCACTGTTATTATTATCATTCCCTCTCACTATGATGTTAATAAACAGTAGTGTACTAGTGAAAGTAAAAGTACAAATGGAACATTATAAACTGATCAATTGCAAGTAAAATTCCTGCATTTCACATTTTACCAGCAAAACTACAGTGGTCTTTTTTGTTTGTTTTGTTGTTGACAAGAAGAAAAATATGGAATAACACCAGTCTTATCCTTAAACTATTACTATATACTACTGATTAGATACAGCTCACAGCATCATATTTTATAAGATAATCATATGTTTTGTGTGTGAAATCTTCACACACAAATGTAGCGGAGTTAAAAACAAAACAGAAAAAGCCATGCAGGGTTAGGGTATTTTACACTGGTATTATATCAGTATCAGTCCACCCTCCAGTGCTTTGAGCCTCTCCAGAGTGCAGCAGTTTCTCTATTAGCAGGAGTCTCTGGTGCACACTCCCTCCAACCACACCTACTATTATTATAGCCACCCCTCTGGATGCAGCATGCCCTAACTACATACGACACATCACTACTTATCAGTATTCAGTTTCTGTATTGAGCTCCTCCGTGGTCGTTGGCCTAGATAAAATCCTATCTTGTGGCTTCAATATGCTGAATGCCTTTAATGTTTACCTGAAATGCCTCCATTGTCACTGTTCATATCACATCATTGTGTGATGCCTAACTGTGATCTGTTTGCCCATAAGACATAAGATTGTGCTTTTGTGAATTCAGCATAGGATGAGTTGCTGTGAAATGAAGATACTATTGCCTTTTGTGCTTTGTCTCTGCCTCATGTCCATTTGCGCCTTTGCTTTATGTCTGTGCATGTGTGTGTAGGAAAGCATACATGTGACTCTTCAAGTATTTATGCATGTTTCTGACAACTGCACCTGGCTTGTGATGGAGGAGTGGGGCATGACATGCAGGAAGACACCAAATCCATCAGAGAAACAGAGTGTACAGAATTTGTGATCGGTCGATTAGCATAATGTACAGACAGGATGGACATGATGGGAAGCAGCGAATTATTCTGTCATTCGAGTGAAAAATGCAGAATTTTATCTCCATGTCTCACCAGCTGCCTCCCCTCACACTCGGGTTTACCCAGTCAGTGCTTTGTATTACTCTGCCGCTCTCTGTGTTTGTCTCTCTTCAGCCCCGGGCGATCTCCATCCTGCTATGACAATGAAATAGTGATGATGAACCATGTCTACAAGGAGCGCTTCCCCAAGGTCAACCTCACACAAACAAATACACAAGTGTAAACTGTGCATACACACACACACACACACACACACACACACACACACACACACCAAATATACACACACACCAAATATACACACAAACAATATGCATACAGGCAATGACCAGCTCTTTAGCTACACTGAATTTCAATTATATTTAAAACAGTTATCCAGTTGATTTCAGGAATCGGATCTTCCCAGTAAGTAGCTGATGACACGTTAGTGCTACGCTAATATACAAGCCTCAAATTATTCTCTGGAACACATTTTAGTTTTCAGTAGTAAGAACCCATACATCCTTTCAATTACTGTTGAAAAGAAAATCAAATATGGGCAGAAATATGTGTCACTAGAAACTCGACTTGAATAACTGCATTAAATAGGACAAAGCTGTTCAGTGCTAGTTGCAGTTGTAGATTAGCAGCAGCAGAGTAATATTTCTTCACAGGAGGACAAACCAAACATTAAATTGGTCATAACCTGTTGAGTTCCCGATGGCCATGAAGACGAACTAAGCAACATGTCAGTATAAATACTTCCTCAACAGATGGGTGTTAAATTCGTTGGCAGATGTGCAGGATTGTGAAGTCCTGAAGAACAGAGAACAGTGTTGACAAAAGTTTGAGAGGTCCTTTGTGAGAGGTTTCACCATTTCCTGGGAAGTAGACAATGTTTGGCTTTGTAGACTAGCACCAGGGACTTGAATCTGATGTATGCTACTACAAGACGCTTATGCGGGGAGCATTGTGGTAAGATGTTTGGGTAAGTTGAAGATCAGACAGGCTGCCGCATTTTGGATCAGTTTGAAGGATCTTACCGCATGCAAAAATATTTAAGTCAGGCAGACAATGCAGTAGTCATATCTGGAGATAAATAATGCCCTCAGAAACATCTGGCAGTAATCAGGGATGGGAATCCGTCAAGCAGGTGTCCTGAAGAACAAACCTGCAGCAAAAAGCAGTCACCATATGATCTAAGAAATAATCATTCACAGAAGTCTTTTCCTTCAACAAGTAGCAGCTCAGTAATGGTTGTACTGACCCACCCGTCATCCAGGCAGCAATATCAGCCCAGCATGCAGACACTGACAAGTCACATTGAAGTGGTATGGGAATCTATGTACAGCTACCGCATGGCCAAGAAATCTGGTGTAGGCAGAGATAAAGAAAACATCCCAGCACTGAATCCTGGAGGACACACACCAGACAGTGGTACCCACTTGGATTTCACAGTGCTCAGATTTCCCGGAAATGTTTCTCACGGATCATGCGATAACATAAAATGTTTGTGGGCCCCACATTATTTGTTGCAAACATCACAGTATCTACCACCTTATCCCAGATGTGTTCAACTGGACTGAAAGACAGCTTTCAGTCAGAGCTCAGCCACTGATATGTTGTTTACTGCACCATTCTTGTCGAGCTCGGGCCGTGTCTACGATGCTTGTCTGTAACTGATCATAAGCACAAAATGAATTAGATCATAATCCTGCTCAAACTGTAACTCAAGCTCTTAAACATGTCTGTATGCATTCTGTACCGAGACATGGACACATGAGTTAATGTCTGAGCGAGGCGACTACTTCTATGAACAAGTGTTTGCCAGAAAATGTATGTCACTCTGCAGGCAGGTGTCCTCAAACACACACCTGCCTGTACACACACACACACACACACACACACACACACACACACACACACACACACACACACACACACACACACACACACACACACACCATCACCCTGTACTTATTCATTTTGAAGCAGTGCTAATGAGTCTTCCCACATACTACTGCACACTTCCCAGGCTTGTGAATGAGTGCTCAACTTTGCTTTGCATCCTCACCGTCACTATATGGGGAATCATCATTAGCCGTTTCATGCCTGAAATAAGCTCCTGTAGAAAGTGTTTAATGGAAGCTTAATGGAGCCTAAATTCTGACAATGTTATGTTCTTTTAAACATTTGTTACACAAGGGAGTGAATCTGGCTATAGCAGATTTTGTCAGCATCCTTTAGACTCCTTCAGGTTCTTCTGAAAAGACAATTTGAATGTAGGTTACATTTTCTGTGTGCCTTATTTAGATTATTTACCCAATGGCTAGCTAGGTTATTTGCATTTACTGCTACAGAGCTCCTGTCAGAGAGCACAGAGTCATCAATCAAGTTCAGCTTCTTTACTCAGTAGAAAAAGACATTAACATGATTCCAGACTATTGATTTCTGCACATGATATGTAAAGATACATAGAGAATAGCAGTGGCGAACTGTGAGTACAAGAGTACAGTAATGGTAGTTTCTGAAAATAAAACACCCAGAAAAGTAAAATGTGTATTACTTCTCTTCAACAGCAACTAATAACTAATCATCTATAGACAAACATAGTAATATCTAGCTGACGCATATATAGTGTAGAGGTTGGTCTCAATCGCACAGCACCAGTTAACTTCACACGTCACAACAAAGATCTACTTCACAAGATTATCAGCATAGACTGCACTAAGCATCAAATTATCAGTGATACAAAGTAGTCAAGGTATCGTACGTAGGATTTGGCAACCACAGGAGCTGATGTGATAAAATCCCTGCTTTTCTGGAGATCTGATGCATATTAATGCTGGGAAATGGGACAAATCGTTTACCCTGAAAAAGACACCTAAAAAGGCTCCCATCAAGACATCACTGAGACACAGGTCTGCATTGAACAGGTGGGGGTGGGTGTTTTGACACGTGTTGTATGCTGCTGGTTTGTGTTAGTTTTAGTAATTTATCAAGAAAACAAGGCTTATTTAAAAAAAAAAAAAAAAAAAAAAAAAATCCAAATTAGCTGAGTGCAGTTTATTGAAGTCTGTGAGAGGTGATTACATTGTTCTCTCAACATCAGACTGACAACATGACAATAATTGACTGTTAACCACTTTCTTGTCCTAAATCAGGCCACAGCTCAGATGGAGGAGAGGCTGGCAGAGTTCATCCACAGCTACTCCCCGGAGAGTGTTCTGCCGCTGGCCGACGGGGTCCTCAGCTTCATCCACCACCAGGTAGCTGAGCTGTCCAGAGACTGCCTGACCAAATCACGCGAGGGCCTCATCACCAGCGTCTACTTCTGTGAGCTGCAGGAGAACCTGGAGAGGCTGCTGCATGATGTGAGTCGTGGAGGTGAAGAGGAATGAAGAGGTGTGACGTCTCTTTGCCTCAGCTCACGAACTGACTCTGTCTGTCTGTCTGTCTGTCTGTCTGTCTGTCTGTCTGTCTGTCTGTCTGTCTGTCTGTCTGCATCAGGCTTACGAGCGCTCGGAGAGTTCGGAGCTCACCTTCGTCATTGAGCTGGTTAAAAAGCTCTTCATCATCATATCTCGTCCCGCCAGGCTCCTTGAGTGTTTGGTGAGTTTAACACCACATGTTTAATCGCCATGGCCTGCGTTTTCTTAAACAGTTAAACCACAATCCCCAATTGCTCAGAGATACTCAACAGACACTGATACGGATTCACCAAATGAGCATTTTTGAATGACGTGACAAGGTGCCTCTTACATTCTGAGTATGTTCTCCTTCATCTGCTGGGAGAGACTCCCGTCCTCCCACATGGAGATGGAAGGTCGACTCCTTAACGCTGAAATAGCATTAAAGAATGAGCAGAAGTGGGGCAGGCAGTCTACTGTGCATTCGGTCTGAAGTGATGAAACACAGGTTTAGCATATCTGAGCTTTGCATTGCCGAGTGTGTCACAGCAGGAAAGCTGTGCTGTCACTCTTAAAACGGTTAGTTTAAGGCTTTTTTAATCTTCTACATTGCACTTGTTTTTACTTGTTCTTGCCTTTTGGGTGAAAATAAAAAGACCTGATATATTTTTTTATGTGTTTCTCGTATAGTTTGGTCCTGGGGGGGATGACAAGGAAAAAAGAGTCTGAATGCACCCACACAAGGAATGCACTGTCAAAACTGAATACTCGCATGCCACTACAAGAAAAATGGCCCAAATCTCTGTCTCAGATCTTTGCAATGTAGAAATCAAAGACCTTCAATTAGCAGCAAGTTAGCAGCACAAATACAGACCCAATGCAGTACCCATCTACCCATGAGCTGCAGAAAAGAAAAAACAAATGAATTAAAAATTGATTTATTATTCGTTGCTGAATGTACAGGTTCTTAGTGTCTGCAGTCCACCAGAGGAAGTGTTGGAACAAGAGCATGTACCCCACCTTGTTTATTCTGGAGAGATTATGGTAATAATTTGGGTTTTTGAGCGGCCTTCTGAACAACTTGGATAGATTATAGCTCCTTGTGCTCGGTTACAAGAAAGTATCAAGTCTTTGTAAAAGGACATCTTCTATTGATGTGGAGAAGGTTTTATCTCATAACCTGAATTTTCTTGTTCTTGTTAAAGGGGGCTCTCCACTGATCGTACACATGCAGTTCATTTTACTGGGGAGGGCTCCACAGCGTGTGAAAACAGTGGCTCTGACAGGCGTGCTCCACAGTTTCAGTCCTGAGACTTAAAATGTTTAATAGAGAGAGTCTGCATTACAAACTGGAGGTGTGGAGATTGGAAGAGGTGAGCTTTTATGCTGCAGGCAGGCAAGCAAATGTGTTTGTTGTAGTCAATTAAATATTGGGAGCTATACTCCAGTGTGCGGATATTGTTTCACTCTTTACCACAATATGCAGTTCTATCCGGCACCTGGCAACAGGTGGAGGTGCACACAACTTTTCTTTCTTTCATCAATTTATTAAAAAGCAATACTAAGCTGCTGGACTATCTTTTTAAGCCTGCAAACAAACATTTTCTTATAAAGAGGAAGGCTTAGGGATAATTTGTCATTCTGTAACGACGCTTGCGGAAGAGCCATCATGACAACGAGGATGGCAGCAACTTGAATCTGAAAGAGCTGCAAACCTCTCGACAACATCATGTGGTCTGTTTAGTTACTGTTTGAATTAAAACCAGAAGATGCAGAAACACAGAATCTCTACTCTTTACTTCCTTTCTCCACTTGTGTTGCATATTTACTGTTGATCTGCGTTGAAAACCTGGCTTATATTGTGCACTTGCTTCCAGTAAATGTCATTTCACCTTCAGCAACATGAGATGTGGAAGTATGAATGCAGTGTATTATACAGTGGAGGTCATGGTTTTGTTTAATCCGTGTCATTCAGTACATCAGACATGCTGCACATCTCTGCTGCAGCAGAGTATCAACTTATCACTGCAGGGTATTTTTATAACCTAAAAAGTCTTCTCAGCACCACATCAAATCAGCTGGGAGACCGAGCCGTGTCCTTGGCATGTTGATACATACAAAACATAACTCACCACTACTTACTTAGTAATAACAAGCCTCTCTGAATACACAGGAGGCTTAGCGATACCTGGATATCAGCTCCCTGATTGATGGCCCCCCATATCCGTCATTGCCGTGGTCCCTCCTCCAGCAACCGTGGCTCATTTTTCTGTTGCCAAGGCGACAGTCGGAAGAGGTCAATAGGGTCAGGCAGGATCTGGAGGGGACTTTAGATCCTCATGGCCCTTAGGTCAGAGAGGAGAACACACACACACACACACACACACATTTAGATGTGGTCAGCAGCCGTAGAGTTCATTTCGCATTCAAGTCAGATGTGAGGTCTGGTTTGGTGAAAATGTCACACAGTCCAGTTGGCTGTTAGCTGCACGAATATTATCCTGGAGCAGAGCAAGCGATCAGAGAGGCAGGTTAATGCCCCCCATCTCCTCACTCTCTCTTTTTTCTCTGGTCTAGGGGAGCAGATATGAGAGAGCAGGGGAAGAAGGAAATGATCCTGGCTGCCCCAGGCTCTGCTTTCTAATCAAAATGTTATTCCACCAACAGGAATGAAACTGAATCCCACAGGACAACACAAAAGGCTTTTTCATTGGAAAAAAAGGATGTTTTCAAGAAAGCAATTTAAAGTTGGGAGGTGTATTAACACAGATTATGTTTGTTTGACAGCCCCGTAGAGGTGTTTGGTCACAAAGTTTCAGCAGGCTGAAGTAAATCCTAGTTTTGTCATTATAAGTTGGCCACGATTTTTGAATTACTTTGTGAGGTGCAACACAGTATGACATCAGTTCATTAACGCTCATCCTTTGTTAGCTGTTATCACAACCCTTTGTTACTGCTAACCAGGAGGTTAGTTTTTGTTCAATACCTGACTCAATACATTGTCTTTTAATGTCTTATCAGCACACTTGCACCAGTATCATGAGAAGGTTTGTTGTGATACTGAGTCAGAGGCTGTTTACCTTCTTTTTCCTCCCTTTTCCTTTTTTTCCAAAACAATTTCTTGATGAATCGATTAGCGAACTGACTTAAACTGACTTTTAAGCCAAAAAAACAGAAATCCCAGTTTCACAAGTGTAAATATTTGCTGTTTCTTAATTTTTCTATCATGGTAAATTGATCATTTTGACTGGATTGGATGGAAAAGGCGAACTTGAAGAGGCCATCTTGAGAAATTGGAACGGGAAATATTTAACTATTTTCAGGCATTTTATTGATCAAAAAATTTATTAATTGAGACCTAATTGACAATTCAAAGGAATTAAAATTAGTTGCAGCCCCGAATGCGAAGTATTTTGTTATTTTAGTGGCATATTTTCCCTTAAGATTACATATATGTTGTGCTATATATTAGATATAAATTGACTTGCAATATGTCAATTCCTTTATGATACCATCATTGTCATCAAAGAAGAAGTCATGTATCGTGATGAGTTAGTCCCAAGTTACCAGTCTTACCCAGCAGCACAACATCATTCCAGTTGTTTAAAATCATTCAGTCTCTTGTAACCTTTTCTTGAACTCTCCTCCAAATTTGTGTGAGGATCAAGGAAATATTGCAATCCCACACACCAAACACTTCAGTGGTAGCAAGTGTTGATTTTCTAGAGTGTTTCTGGTGTTGACCGGAGCTGATCAAAGCTTTGTTTATTCAATTGTAGACATGATGTGGCTCCAGCACTGGTCTTCAAACCAATCTGAAGGTGTTAAAACTCTGTTGTTTTGGACTTAAAGATATTGCATACTGCTGAGTGTTAAATCAGCAGTAGGAATTTTGCTGTGCGGCACACACTTCACACATTCTTTCCCCCAATGACAGGAGTTCAACCCAGAAGAGTTTTACCATCTGCTGGAGGCAGCGGAGGATCACGCCAAGGAGGGACAACTGATGAAGGCAGACATCCCTCGGTACATCATCAGCCAACTGGGGCTGACCAGAGACCCACTGGAGGGTAAGAGAGAAAGAAAGAAAAGACATTAACATGTTGTATCGTGATATATGATGTGCTGTAACTATTTCTTGGTGAACAGCAGTGAGGTGATGGAGAGACTTCATTTTTAACATTATAAAAAAAAAAAAGTCTGTTTACATATGTATATATATAGAGAGAGAGAGGTGCTAGTAAGGACACAGATATCATTGTCTCCGATGTCCATCACAAATAAACGTCCATACATTCCTTTAGCGGTCATAGAAAAGAGGTGCTCCTTATAACTTTTTCTTGAGTATCAAATGAATCCTGTGTTTCTGTAAAGTCGTGGGCACAGTGCAAACAGGAATTGCTAGTAGCTCATTTGGCAGTGCCAGTTTGCCAAAATTTAAACAAATAGAGGCTTAAGGAACGGCGCTCAAGATGTAGCACTGACACTCTCCTCCTCCATTCATATACTGATATTTGCACTGAGTCGAAACCCTGTGGACATGTAGATGATCAGGATGTTCAGGATGAGGATATTTATTGAGATGTAGAGTCTGGGCTAGATGGATCATTTGCTGGCCGGTGGTGCTCTGGCATCACTATCTTTCATTACTCATCGCGGCTCAAACTCCCGCTCTCAGTCTAATCCATCAAGAGCTGTTCATTAGCTGATGGGCTAAATGGCCCATGAATGACTCTTCACAATAAAGCGCTGTGGTTTTATTTCTCAACTCATGAGAAATATGGGGCTGTTAGGCCTTTCTCAGTTAATCTCTGCTAACAATGTGTCACTTGATATCTTGATCTCCCACTTTCTTTTGCACCTACATTGTCATGTATAGACACAAATGCACACCCACGTAGCTGCTAGCACGTCTACACTTTCACACTCTCATTTCTTTTCTTGTTTCCCGATAGAAACAGTTGACAAGATGAGTTGTTCTCAGCGTCAAACAGAAACACACAGAACATACCTTTCTCAGCTCAGTGACTTTATTTCACATTAAGTTAATATCTATAGAGCGGCTTTGTAAATGCGTTGTGAAGGTAATTATCGTTCACTTATTTCCCTGCTTTGACAAAACAGCAGTACAAACAGCGTATTCTAGCAGCTGTGGCATATAGTACAAGAGTGCAAGAACAGTGAAAACTAGCTGCTGGTGCTGCTCAAGGAGGGAGGAAAGTGAGGAGGAGGGAGCGCTGAAGGAGACAAGAAAAATTAATAGGAAGAAGCTATTTTAATTCTCTCATGTTTTTCTCTCCGTGATCTTGGGCCTTCAGCTGTTTTGAAACTTGAATAGCTGTTTTGTTAAAATTGTCTGAGCAGCTGCAAATTTCTTATCTGCTCACAGCAGTGTGGGAGGCCTGGTGTTTTAGCATGAAAAGTGTCTCTCTTTATTTGGACACCGGGTTTGGTTGTTAACTAACATGTTTCTCAACAGAAATCGTGAATCTTGAAAACTATGACAGCGAGGGTCCACATACTCCAGAGACTGATGACTCAGCAGAGGTGAAGATGAAATATACCCACAGACAGATCCGCGTTTACATGAATTCACGTACAATGACATTTATGCATTTGAATATTTAAGTTCAACCACGTCTATGCTGATCCGATTAAAATGTTGGGTATTTCACCAGGGAAAAGGGAGAGCCATCAAGCCACCGAGTGAGGAAGATTTTCAGAGCATCAAACTGATCAGCAATGGAGCTTATGGGTAAGCAACAGATTGATGTCTCATTGATGTCTCATAAGAACCAATTCAAATCCAATCAAGTCATTATATAGTGTTTAAATGAAGAAACTAACTTAACGCAAGGTCTATTTGACTAGCTTTTTTTCCAGAGCTTTTAACCCGATTCAGTGCACATAATTTGCTCAGTCATCTTCAGGAGCTATCTCCATGACAACTGAGCAAGCACCATCAGCTGACATTGGCTTGAAAGCTCTGGAATAATCTAGTAAATGGACCTCGAGTTAAGATTTTTATTTTTAATATTTTATTTTTTTGTTTGTTCCATCTCAACATTATTCAGTAGATTCCAATACACAGTGGTTCATGATGCTTATGCCACCATAGTAATAACTCATTTCCATTGATGAAAACCAGCTGCCTTAAATGTAAGAAACCATTCTGATCATTATTTTTCAGTGAACATGTCCAACCACCAGTAAGGTCCCTGACCTACATAATGTCAATGCTGTGCTAAGAAGTTGTACTGGAACAAACTCTTGCCAATTTTTGACTCATTTGTAAGGATTCAGGCTGTTCTCTGTTCCAGAGGGGAGCATCATAGATGTTTGATGTGCAACTGTGGTTCTTTTTTACTTGAAACCACACATAATATTTAGTAAGACAAAAAAAGAAACATGGGTGAAACACAAAGAATGACATGGGTATTTTTGGGTATTAGATTATGTGCTGAAGAGTTAATATAATGTCATGATTGGTTTAACATTAATGTTTACTTTTGGTTTTAGTTTATGATATGTATAACTGTGCCTTGTAATTCCATGTTTTACCTGACACATTTAAAGATAAACTGACGGTTGTTTTCCACTCCCTCATCCTGCCACACAGAATGAAGAAAACACCAACATGCAAAAGGATTTAGAGGGGACATTTTTTAAAAGCCATATCTGATGTGTTTTCAAGGACTGGCCTGTTCAGTGATTTGAAAGAGATAAATGTAAAATCTCTTCAACAACAAAAAAGCAACCAGTAGGGAGTTATTTATACAATTAGTCTCCTCTTGGTCTTAATCGGTAAACATGCTGCATTTTAAAAGATACTAAATTATCTAAAGCTGGCCTCAGTAGAACAGAAAAGAAAGCACTGTGAAGGTCAAGCCTCCATTATTCCACCATTATCTGCCAATGTAAAAGAAAAAGGATGTTTTTGAAAAACAAAAAAACTCAAAGGTTATGAGCTTGGGGCTTGACATTTTGGTTTTCAAAGTCTTAAAATCCACTTTGATATTCACTCAGTCATAATGTATTAGTTTCATGTCTAAAAGCAGATTGAATATCCTTTTTTATTCTTTACCAGTTTCTCACCCTGCTGTTGTTTTCTCAATACCTCATCTCCTCTGTTGTGTACTCCTCTGTCTTGCCCTCGTTCCAGCGCCGTCTACCTGGTGCGGCACAGGGAGACACGTCAGCGATTTGCCATGAAAAAGATCAACAAGCAGAATCTGATCCTGAGGAACCAGATCCAGCAGGCGTTCGTAGAGCGAGACATCCTCACCTTCGCAGAGAACCCCTTTGTCGTCTCAATGTTCTGCTCTTTTGAAACGCGGCGACACCTCTGCATGGTCATGGAATATGTTGAGGGTAAGGGAGTGAGGTTTACAGTAAAGACGGACTCCCAATTGAAAAGATGATGATTTATGAGGCTGCTCTGAATGGGCTTTTCCTGCTCTGTTTGTTTTTCATTTTTCTCTGTCATGCAGAAATGTTGGTTCAGATTTCTATCTGGTTTGTAAAATAACAACACTTTTCAGCCTTTTCTCTCCGCTTCTGTTTCCTGACCTTGCATTTCTCTGCTACTCATGAGAAGATTTTCACCAAATTAATAATTAAATATTTTGTCTAAGTGCTGTGGCCCTGACTTTTCAGGTCTTAATTACTTGTAGTGCTGGTGACCTTGGAATTTAAGCTTATTTAACTTTTACACGTTATTTAATTCTGAATAAACTGTCTGTTCAAAACATAGTCAATGAGGGTTTTTGGCTGCTCTCTCCATGTTAACTTCCTGCTTCCAAACCATATTTATGGTGCAGTATATAATCACTCACTTACCTTTCCAGAAGGGCAGTGGATAGTGATCTTACTCTTATTTCACCATCACAATGATTTTCGATCATGAAAGTCAAACAAGGTCGGTAGATTCACACCGCCTCATCTTCCTCTGTAGTTGGGTTGAATTTTCTGGAGGGCAGCTCAGGACAGTGTTGTGGCAGAATCCGCTCTCGCTTGAACAATAACAACAATAACCGGTATTTCTGTGTTTGTAGGTGGTGACTGTGCCACCTTGTTGAAGAACATTGGGGCTCTGCCTGTGGAGCTGGCAAGAATGTACTTTGCTGAGACTGTTTTAGCCCTGGAGTACCTGCACAACTATGGTATCGTCCACAGAGATCTCAAACCTGACAAGTGAGTGTTTAAAGCTGCCCTGATCACTCTTTTTATACTAACAAAGGATCAAGTGACTGAATATAATGTGAAAGGGGTCATTCATATGATGATGAGCCACAGAAAATTATCACCCAACAGTTCCTCTGAGCTCTATTGAGCATTTTAGCATCATTTAGCTAATTGCTTTGGCTTTACTGCCCACAGCTTTACTGTTGTGATTCAGTTTTACCGCTTTCATCAACTCAGTAGTGAAATGAGAGGTTCAGCAAAAAAGCTCATTACCTGCCCAGACAGACAAAAGCAGCAATTGGTGAAGGTACTGGAGCATTTAGCAGCTAAAAAGCCAGATATTTGCCATCATGAGTTGGTGGAGGCCAAAAACATACTGGACTTTGAATTCATCATGTGGTCAGAAACACAACTCTACATAAATGCTGATGTTTCTCCATGTCTGCTACATCTTTTATTGAGCGACTGTTTGCTAACCCTTCAACCATACAAACTTTATAAGGTGATAATATAGTTCTGCTGCTTCATGCGTCGGAAAAATAAACCGAAGCTGCTTTAAAATTCCTGTCTGGTGTCAAGGAAAACATACCTGTTACTCCGTTAAATGTGAATTTTATTGCTATGTGCCAGAATTAGATCTGTTCAAGTGTCAAATAGTAGAAATTTTCCATTTCCTCTCTTGATACAGTCTCCTGATCACCTCCATGGGCCACATCAAGCTCACAGACTTTGGCTTGTCGAAGATGGGTCTAATGAGCCTCACCACGAACCTTTACGAGGGACACATTGAGAAAGATGCCAGAGAGTTCCTGGACAAGCAGGTACGGCACCTGTAACCTAGTACGGCGCCAGGTCTTCCAACATTAATTGCAGCACTTTATCGTCACATTATGAAAGATGAAAAGCTGCTGACAGATACATTTGAATCAGCAACAGTATGAATTTGGTATGTAGGCAGAATTAGTGAAATTCTAAGATAGGATGTATGGTGGCTGAGCAGACGACTCTTTTAGTCTTCTCCAGCCATGCGTGCCAACCTGCCAAGTCATCCGGCAAAATCAATGATCTCCAAATAAAGACGTTGCATTACAGTGCTTCCTGTGCTGTCTGAATTAGCGAATCATTAATGCTCTCCATCTCCATCACAGTCCCATTTTGCAATTATAGTTATTGTTTATACTCTGAATTAAACCAGTCATAATCAGTCAGATCGCTGCTTGTGTTCTCCAGCTCTTCTGGGTGGAAGCAGGCATCTGTTCGTCTGCCAGTAATCAACTCACATCTGCGGCTGAAACAGAGCAGGGGTTTGCTTTTCATGTGTCTAGTGGAGAGTCGGATTAGCGGAGTATTTCTCACTCAGTCAGCAATGATGTGCATTCATTTACAGTGTATTCACTTTCAGATCCTGAACAGTATATATTTATGATGATCAGAATGAACAGAGTGACAGCACATACTGTTTCCATTTTACAGCCTCTAGTGTTAAAGGGCCAGTTCATCCAAATCAAAAAAACAGTGCAAGTAATTTATTAATTCATTTCAATTTTATTGTCTATAGATTTTAAATCTTCCCCATTGAAACGCCCCCCCCCCCATCGTGAAACAACAATTTTTAGTGTTTATGGTATTTATGGTATAAACAAGTAAAAATTCAAAAGTTGTTTCCAGAAACAGTATCTCATATACCAGGATAGATTGTGAACCGTTTGCCTTGTTTTCAATTACTCATCAATTCAAGTAATTGCCTTGTTCTACTACTGGCACTGTATCAGGAAAGGTGGAAAGGTGGTTTGTCAGAAATCTTATACTCATCTTTACCTACACAGGTCTGTGGGACTCCAGAGTACATCGCTCCAGAGGTGATTCTCCGTCAGGGCTACGGAAAGCCGGTGGATTGGTGGGCCATGGGCATCATCCTATATGAGTTCCTGGTGGGCTGTGTGCCTTTCTTTGGAGACACTCCAGAGGAGCTGTTTGGACAGGTTATAACAGGTAAGAAAATACTTATAAACTTACAATTTAAGTTTCTTAGAGAACAAATCGGACCTTACTGGTAAATAAAAGCTGTGCAGTAACAGTAAGATTACTACACTAGAACAAAACTACAGTTTAGAGTTTAGAAACAAACAGCTTTATGGTTTTAGAGTCAGACATGTGTTCCCATGCTTTCTTATGCTATCCAAGAAAGGGATGAAGGTCGAGCAGGAGTAGGACTCCAGATACTTTTCCTCCATATTCAATATTTCATTTTCCTCAGGTATTAAAGGTAATTTTGCAGAAGTTTGGACTAGCCTATATTTTCTCATCTTGACACCTTCAAAAAGGAGAAATTTCTTTCTTTGTTGTGACCTCTTGCTTTGTCTTTGTTGCCTCTGCTAGACGATATAGTTTGGCCAGATGGTGATGAAGCCTTGCCTGCAGATGCCCAGGCCCTCATATCTGCTCTGCTGCAGACAAACCCTCTAGTGAGGTTGGGTTCAGGTACTAACTTTTCCATTTACTTCACATCAGACTGACCTTCTTCAGCCATTTGGCAACAAGATTGTAGTAGTAGTAGTAGATAGTATAAAAAGAATTGTTTCATATTTTGAGAAACAAGCTTATTTGCTGTCTTGTAGACCGATAGATGAGCTAACATTACCTATCAACTGGTTAGCTTAGCACAGTTTCTGGAAACAGGGGGAAACAGATAAATTAGCTCTGTCCAAAGGTAAAAAAAAAATTAATCTGTGCAGAAATTAAAGTGTAAAAACAAAATTGTGGCTAAGAAGAGGGTTATGTGCAGTACTATTTCTTTATTTTTCTACACAGGCAGGAAAGCTGTTTCCAGTCTCAAGCTAAGCTAAGCTAACTGTCTCCTGGCTGTAGGTTAATTTTTAAAGAGACTAGTATTGAGCTTCTCATCTTCAAGTGAATGTGTATTTTCCAAACTGTTCCTTTCATGAGAACTTTTCAATACAGTGAGTTTAAAAAACGGACAATTAAGTCACATTATGAAATCAACTGTGCATTATACAAATATAACCTTAACTTTCATCTCTTTTAAGCACATTGTCGATCCATATTTTTGTGTCCCTGCTGCCAGGTGGAGCGTTCGAGGTGAAGCAGCACTCCTTCTTCTCTGAGCTGGACTGGAACAGTTTGCTGAGGCAGAAGGCAGAGTTCATCCCTCACCTGGAGTCAGAGGAGGACACCAGCTACTTTGACAGTATGCATGTCTGGATTTATGTGTCTGTAAAGTACAGCGGTTACATCAATATTAGCTTTATGGGTTGTACAATAATTTTCTGACACCGCTCCGGTCAGAAATGCACATTTTACATTGAACTGTCAGCTCATATATTTCATGGCCTCCCTCTCACTCCCTCCTCTGCCAGCCCGCTCGGATCGTTATCACCACATCAATACGTACGACGAGGATGACACCAATGACGACGAGCCGGTGGAGATCAGACAGTTTTCCTCCTGTTCTCCTCGCTTCAGCAAGGTCTGACTTTGTCTCTCTTGCATACTTTCCTCTTTCATCGCTCCCTCTCTCCCTCTATCATTTTACTCTGTCTTCCTTTTTTTTTCCTCACCCTGTCGGTCTGTTATATTGTGTCACACAGAATCTCACTTGCCACTTGAGATTATTGACAGGATTAGATGAGGAAGGTCTTTGATGGACAGAATGAGGACAAACTGTACGAAGAGCAGCACCTGGAGGACAAACCCAGGTTTCATACCTGAGGTTCAGAGAGTCTAAATGGGAATTTACTGGGCTCTTTATCACTCTTCTTTTTTTTTTTTGTTGAGCAATACAGAGGCCCATGTACCTTAAATGTCACAGCCACTTACTATGCTTGTCTGTAGATGTGTGTTTAATGATCCAGACAAGCCTTCATCCACATTTTTCAGTCACTCTTTCTTTGGCGAAATCTCCTTTAATTCTGAACTGTGACTCCCTTCCCTCAGTGTGACAACGTGCTCTTTCTGTCACACTTTTACTTTTTCTTCTCAGGTGGGATTTTCTCACCTCGTGCTGCCTTTTTGTTCCTTCTCTCTCTCTCAACCCTCCCACCTTTCTCCTCTCTCCCTCACTCTGTCTTTCCATCTGTGTCTCACCTGGTCTATCCCCTCATATTTGGGTTGTGAAGCAGTGAAGGAGCTCTTCACTTAGTGGAAAGTGCCTCATCGCGGAGCCAATTTCAATATAATTTGTGGTGTATTTAAGGTTACAGTTCAGAGCTGTTGAGTAGCCTTGCTCGGGCAAAGCAGGTGGACAAATACCTTGGCTGAATACACACACAAAATAGTATACAGAGAACATGTGCACATATTTCATGCATTTTAATTTTTCAATGTGTAACTATTTTGATCATTCATAATTAACTTATTTTTAAGCAAAAATCCAAAAAATTAGCTGGTTCATTTCTACCTATCTTCTCTATCTTCTATTTTCTACCTCTCTCTTTTCTTTTTTGCTTGTCAGACAAAACAAGACATTTATAATGTCTTTTTGGGATCTTGTGACAGGCATTTTTCACTATGTTCTGATAATTTATAACAATTAATTCAAGAAAGTAAATCAGCAGATGAATCAATAATGTACATACAGTAACCGTTACTGTATATTTATATATCTACCAAACAGAATCCAAGGGATAACATTTTAAAGTGAGAGCAGTTGTTCCATCATGGTCCCACGATGTTAAAAGACACAAAACATGCAACATAAAATTAAACAATAAGATCTTAAAGGCAAAATTTACATACTTGAAATAGAAAACTGATTTATGCATAAGATGACGCTGTATGTTTGGCTTGTAATGCGTACACATAGTACACACATGCTTTATGAGAAGCACTTCAAGATTCTCTCAACTGAGCATTTTTGCACATTATTCTTTCCCCCAAGCTTATTACTACAAAAGACAAAAGGGACCATCATGCTTTGATGTGTTAGCTCATTTAACATGACCTCATGTGACTTGATTACCTCTGTCTTACCTTATTCAGTCTTTGGTTGTGGCTTCTTGTGAGGAAATACTGTATAGAAACACTAGTTTTCATTCACAGTAGGTGAAGATTAGTTTGTATGCAGTGATAAAATATAGATGAACCCGGATGATTAAAAAAAACTGAAAGACGAATGCAAATGACTCTTTTGTGTAGGTGAGATTAAAAACCTCCAAAGGGTTTCCAGCAAATAATCTCACTCCAAAATTAAAAAGCAAACAAATGTCACATGAGTAATCAGCCAGAGTTTAAAGCAGCTTTTCCTAAATGTCTTTTGACATTTTTGATAAAAAAAGCATTGAGATGTCTCATAGATTTAAAAAAGTAAGAAATTGGCTCTGGCTGTCAACATGGTTTTTTGGTTTTCCTCTTGAGAAGACACCTGGGTCTTCAGCTGATACTTGTTTCCATGGTGCACTGCTGAATATTCGGTAGGCTTCCCTTAACGTAGCTCGTCTTGTTGTCCTCCCCCACACAGCTTAGCTTTTCTTTGTTACTCTGCACATAATGAGAGCCTTACAGAGTAACTGTGTGCATGTCTTTGTGGATATGTCAGTGCTCACATGCATGCATGGTAAAAACATAGAAGCTATGTTGTTTTTCAGTGTAGTAGGTCACATTTCATATGTCCTTTTGTAAATATTTTAGCTTGTTTTAAGTCATCCGAGTGATGCTGGAAGTCAGGTTATCATCCTCTGAATGCACAAATGAGCATACTGAATATATTGTTGTCACTGGTGGGCAGCTTTGAACAGCAGTGGAAGGCAGACAGTATGATATTTATATTAACAATATTATTTAATATATATTTGAGATACGGTTTTGCCACTCTGCTTTGTTAACTGTTAATTTTACCGCATCTTGAACCACAGCAATAAGCTACTGTTAAAAACTCGTCTTTATCTTCTTTTTTTATATTCAAACAAGCACAACACTTTGCGTTGAAATTGTCTCTTTGTCAGTCACATAGGAATCAAATAGGTGACACTGTCATTTAAGAAGTAGTCCCACACATAGGTGTAGTTACATCCATCCTGCAAGCATGACTCAAGATAATACCAATAGTGCATCGTAAATGTAAAGATAGGAATTATATAATGTGACAAGAATTCAACCCCACTGCAAACAGTACTGAGTGTATTAAATGTCTCCCAAGATTACATCAAGTACACAGTTTTCACAAGCTGGCATCCTAAGAAATGTATTTACATCCGTTTCTTGATGAATTCCAAATATTAGACACTGCCGCCAATCAGTATTATGTACTCTTGTGACCAGGGATAATAGATGATGTGGGCTGTGGAAATTAGAATTTTTAGATGGAAACTGCAAATAGCCAATATGTTGTGCCAGTATTAAGATTTTGACAATTTTCATGCCAAAATGTTTAAAAATAGAAGGATTCAGAATGTTCTACTTGTCCGACTTGTCATACTCTCTGAAAATACTGAAAACCAGAACAGTTAGGAGCTCCTGTAGGAAGAGGGACATTTCGTTGCATGTCTGAAAGGATGAAGCACATGAGCAAAGCTGAATGTGAAACAGGAATTAAGTGGTCAACACTGTCAAAGTGGAGAGTAAGATCACTGGTTAGTAGCATCCTTCTGGCAAACATTTTTAGCCAGCAAATCACAGGGAAAGTTAAACCCATTATAGCAAATCTGGACCGTTTATTTAGCAAGACCGAGCTACAGAGGTCTAGTAATGTCATTCCTTCTGACTCCACGCTCCCAGAGTTTTTTTCGTTCTTAAACTTGACATCACGTGATGCAGTTCATCAGCCAGAAAGCCTTTGTACAACTTTTGCTCCCCAACACATGTAAACAGACTGACATGTAAAACCAGTGGAGTTCCCCTTTCAGAAATATGACATCCTCCCCACTGTTCCGAGATACAGGTTTTCAGAAATTTGGTTTAATGAGTTCAAGTTTAAATTTATCCCATAAATGCTCTTGAATTTAAAACACTCGAAACTGCATATTTGTTCCCTGCATAGCTTATCAGTTTATTCTTATTCGCATTGTTCTCATTGTTCACATGGGCATTTTATTGACTCTGCATAGTGTGAAAAACATCAATACTTTTAACGTCCTCTATTATCTTATTGTGTTTTGAGTGTGCTTGTTTTCTGCTTTTTTTCTTCACTGCAAAAACAATTACACTAAATATGTAAACTGGACTGAGCAAAATCATCATATCAGTCGTTTAGATTATAAACAACTGTCCTTGACACATTTTTATTATATGCCGGATATCTGAAACAAGTACAGTAATTATAAATACTGACACCAAACATATAACTGTAACACACATTCACCAGCAACATATTTCCTAAGCTATTAATAACTGCTAACAGACCAAATGATTATTGATCTGACTGTGCGCCCCTGCAGGTGTACAGCAGCATGGAGCATCTCTCTCAGCTGGAGCAGAAAGCTACGACCTCTGTGTCCCGTCGGGAGCACAAGGGCCCGCGGGACGACAAGGTGACCAAGAGAGAGAGCCTGGGCAGCTTCAGCATGAGGGATAAGAGCTGGAGGACTGGATCGCCTGAGATGTGAGTGACGCAGACTTATAAATGAGGCGTTTCAGAGGCACAGTCATGATTTTTTTATATGCGCATGGCAGAGTGAGGTGGGGTGTTCTGTGTATTTGCGTAAATCAGGGCTGAGGGTGTTCAGAAGGTGGTTTCCTGATGGTTTTTCCTCTTTGCTGTCACATATCCCTGGGTGTCTGAGTAACTGGTTTCTATCTCACTGACACCAATTCTGACACTTCTTATATAAAAAGATCTTTGTGCAAGAGTTCACACTCACTTTGAGTCAACAACAGGAAACAGATCTCACCTCTCCAAATTTTGAAAAGTAGGAAAGTGGAAATGGATCGCTGGTTCATACGTCTCAAAGAAACCCAAATATGTGACATGATTTGTTGTGAATAACACAGATGTAGCCGTTGGCTTTTTTTTTTTTTTTTACTCAAATCAAGTGCAATATTATCTTACAATTATATTACGCGAAAGGATAAATACTAGTAATTTTAGGACTATTGAAAAATTTTTTGCTCTTCATCTGGTATACCTGTCAACACCTGCCTGACTCTGACAGTGTTTATTCATATTGGATTGAATATAAAAAAACACCTCTCAAGGGTTCTGGTTTTTGGCAGACCAAATGAAAAAAATAATTTTATTCCTGGATCTAGATTCATTAAACATCATCTGCATCTGCTCTCTTGTGACTTGTGTCATGCAGCAGCTCACGCAGCACTGCAACCTGCTGAGTTCAAAGCACATATTATTAAAGATGCAGTTTGTAGGATTTAGTGGCATCTAGCGGTGAGGTTGCAGATTGCAACCAACTGAATACCTCATCACCGCCTTTCCGAGCGTGTAGGAGAATCTATGGTGGCCCTCAGGTAATGTAAAAACACAAAAGGCTCTCTCAAGAGCCAGTGTTTTGTTTGTCCATTCTGGGCTTCTGTGGAAACATGGCAGGCTTCATGGAAGACAACTCACTCCCTATGTAGATATGAAGGGCTCATTCTAAGCTAACACAACAATTCATACTTATAAGTGATTATACACTAATGAAAACATAATTATGGATTTTATATTCCATTCCTGTGAATAGAGCCCCCTAAATCCTACACACCGCTCCTTTAACTGATACAGCTCTAACCGAGAGCATGGAGCAGAGAGAGACTGCCATTACTTCTCATGACTCAATTTCAACTCAGTCTTTAGGAAGCATATGTCAGGGTTTCAATCTCTCTATTTTCATACATGCAATAAAACAATTCATTCATATATTCTGCATTCATAATGGACTGGAAGACGTGAAAGGTGAAGGTGACTCATCATTTGTTAACCTTACATACTGGATTTTCCATTCTTCCTTATCAGGTAGAAATTATATGTATCATCTCTCCAGCTATGATTCATTATCAGCTCCTGTTCATTACATTTTTAACCAAAGAGATCACTTCTGTCACTTGGCCTGACTGTATTTCAATGTCACTTATTTCTCATCTTGGCTCTAGAGAAACTATGGGATGGATTGCCATGAAATCTGGACCACACATTCATGGCTGTAGACTTCAAGTCTTGTTGGAGAAAGGACTCTTACAGAGAGGACACTGTTTGTATTACATTGTGTGACTGCGTCCGTGTCCTTCTCCTTCAGGAAGCGCCTGTCTTGTTCAGAGTCCCTCTACATGGAAGGAGACGCGAGCCCTCCCCTTGGTGCTCGGCGACGCTTCTCAGCACTGATGGATACACATCGTTTTGCTTCACCCCTAGAGGGTGAGCCAGACTTCCTGTCCCGCCAGGCTCCCATCAAGGTCCGTGGAACCTCACTGGATGGGACCAGTGTCCCCTCACCGAGCCTCCTGGAGCAGAGGACCAGTCTGAAAGAGATCAACGGGGCAGGTAGGTTGCAGCCTGAGGTCTCACAGGAAGTGAGGTTGGAGAAGAGGAAATAAATAAGAGTGGGCAATGGAGAAAGTGATAAAGAATGAAGGGTAATTATTAGATGGCTCATGCTGTGTTGCTATTCTCACCTGTAAGTGTTGTTTTCAACTTAAATAAGTATAATTCCCACATTACTCTACTTCCTCACAGACAAGCCCCCTAGACCTGGAGAGACACCAGGCATTACTACAACCATCACCACATTGTCTCCAGGTCCTGCAGCCACCAGTCGTGATGTCATGACCCCTCTGTATGACCCTCTGGGGCCCCGGGCCACCAATGACCTGGTCCTCCGCAGGGCGCGCCACCAGCATTTGTCTGGTGATGGAGAGAAGCGCAACTCCAGACCTGGCAACAAGGTCATCAAGTCAGCCTCCGCCACAGCCCTGTCTGTCATTATACCATCAGGTGAGAGGCAAAAAGTAAAGATTATCATGAAATCCTTTAGGAAATAATCAATTGTGACACCCTAATACAAATACAGTATCTAATTTCTCTGCTTACCCTCTCTCTGCCACCAGTGGAGCAGCATGGTGGCTTCTCCCCATTGGCCAGCCCCATGTCTCCCCACTCTTTCTCTTCCAACCCCTCGTCTCGAGACTCTTCACCCAGCAGAGACTTCTGCCCAGCAGTCAGTGTGCTGCGCTCCCCCATTACCATCCATCGATCTGGAAAGAAGTACGGTTTCACCCTCAGGGCCATCAGGGTCTACATTGGAGACAGTGACATCTACAGCGTCCATCATATAGTTTGGGTAAGAAACTTGTAGTAGTATGTACTCTTTGGAGATTTAGAGTTAAAGTCAGTGACCTACATAAAGAGGGATGGCTTGTGCTATGACTTTTGTGGGTGCATTTTAAAGTCCGGGTGGCATTAACCATGGATAAGTGAAATGAAAAAACAGAGTGTAAAAGAGGACAGGATGAAGCTCATCTTTGGAATCTCATTTTCTCTTCCTGTATTATTTATAGCATAACAAAAGGGAAAATAATTCATGCTTTCCTCTAATCTGGCAACACGTAGTCTTTCAAAATATTGTCTAAGATTTAAATACTGTACCCTGAGTGTTTATATACGAGTGACTTTCCCCTGTCATGAATTTGGATGCTTTGTGTATTGGCAGCATGTGGAGGACGGCGGCCCTGCCCAGGAGGCCGGCCTGTGTGCTGGTGACCTCATCACTCATGTCAACGGGGAACCTGTCCACGGTCTGGTTCACACTGAAGTGGTAGAGCTTATCCTCAAGGTAAGAATCTGTTGGTCTATTCATTCACACCTGTACTGTACATCAGTAAAATCAATATTTCTCTCTGTTCTCTATTTCTGTATCAGTTAATAGTCGTTTAAAAGGAAAGACGGCTCGTGTAACTTTTAGCAAAATGACGCTTTAGCTATTCCAACAACACACCAAGCCTCTGTTAATTAATTCTGTAAATAAAGGCCATGTTAGCTAGCCAGTTTTTCGTAACCTTGACAACAAATACGTATGAGGGTAGACTTCATTTAATGTCATTGATCTGTGTAGAGTGGTAACAAGGTGACAGTGACCACCACACCTTTTGAGAACACCTCCATTAAAGTGGGTCCTGCCCGGAAGGCCAGCTACAAGTGTAAGATGGCCCGACGAAACAAGAGGACCATGGGCAAGGAAGGCCAGGACAGGTATGACCTTAGAGACCTGCAGCACTGCACTGACGTGTTACTGATGTCTTAGATGATCTCTTTCATGAACAGACTGTACACTGTGATGTTATTGGATAGTAGAAGAGTTTGTCTTGCACAAGATACAATATGTAATTTTTTACAATACAGTGAGAATCCCATTCAAGGGCCGGTGGTCTTGCATGGTTTAGCCCATTCATTTACAAATGCATTCATAGTAAACATTGGTTTCTGTTCATTTTGGTGTATACTGCAAAAATCAATTAGCAGAGGAGAGTTTTCAAAACTTTGACAAAACAAAATAAAGCAACTGGTTTGCAGTTATTGATCATCTTGTCTCATGATGGTTGTCATAACTGGAGATTATTGATCCCTATAAGCTAGAGAATCAATGCAAAAACCTATGGTATTGCTTTGGAAAACGGTCAACAGCAATGTAGCTAGTGTGCTTAAACATGGAAAACCACTGGTATGAATGTATATTATTTTTGTATTGGTCAATCGTTTTTCAAACCTTGCTTTCTCACTCTCTTTTCATTCTCTCTCTATCCTGTAGTAAGAAGCGTAGCTCCTTGTTTCGTAAGATCACAAAACAGTCCAATCTGCTGCACACCAGCCGCAGCCTGTCCTCTTTGAATCGCTCTCTGTCCTCCAGCGAGAGTCTTCCTGGCTCCCCGACACACAGTCTGTCTGCGCGGTCCCCGACTCAGGGCTACCGCTCCACCCCTGAGCCCTCATACTTGGGTAGGGCACTGGAACTTAACTTGCACATACTGTACATAAATGGTCAAATGGAAACTCTGTAAGATCAGTTCACATTAGAGATATTTTCCTTCAAAGCCTCCACATATTTTTAGAACCTGAAATTGGGAGTTATTCAAATTTGCTTCCAAAACAGAGCGTATGCCCTGGAAAGCGATCTTTTAATGACTGAAATTACACTAGACCTGATATTCAAAATTCACTTTACCTTTAAATCAAACATTTGCATCTTCCTCATGGATTCTGTGTATCTTCATTGATCTTTTCTGCACTCTGTGGTCCTTCAGGTGCTTCCTCCCAGAGCAGCTCTCCAGCCTCCAGCACTCCAAACTCCCCTGCTCCCTCACAACACATGAGGCCCAGCTCCCTGCACGGCCTCTCACCTAAACTCCACCGCCAGTATCGCTCTGCCCGTTGTAAATCTGCTGGTAACATCCCCCTGTCTCCGCTGGCCCATACACCCTCCCCTACCCAGTCTTCTCCTCCACCCTTGCCAGGCCACACTGTAGGGAGTTCCAACACCACTCAGTCCTTCCCTGCCAAGCTCCACTCGTCGCCGCCTGTGGTCCGTCCCAGGCCCAAGAGTGCCGAGCCCCCTCGATCACCTCTTCTCAAAAGAGTTCAGTCAGCAGAGAAGCTGGGCTCACCTCTGACCCAGTCCAGTTCTACAGGAGGGCTGGGGGGTCCGCTGAGGAAGCACAGCCTGGAGGTGCAGCACTCTGAGTACCGCAAGGATGCCTTCCTCTGTGAGCTTGGGCTCCAGAGCCTGTTGGAGACAGAAGGGGAAAATTTGCCTCCTAATCCTCCACCCCTGCCCTCATCCTCCTCTACACCAGAGACCGGTGTACTGAAGCCAGTGAGGAGACTAGGGAGGCAGGAGTCACCGCTTAGCAGGGAAACACTGCTGGCTGGGAGGGAGAGAGAAGAGAGGGAGAGAGGAAGGGAGAGGGAGAAAGAGAGGGAGAGAGACGCCGGGACAAGTCGAGTTGGAGCAACAGCATCCCCGACATCCTTAACGAGAAAACCTCATACAAGTGAGCTGCCCTTAAACTCACAAAGCTCCAGACTAAATGCAGAAACTACTAAAATTACAACTCCTAGCACCCCTACCAAAACAACAGGAAGTCTATGTGGTCAGAAGGCACCTGAAAAGATTCTCCAGGGTCAGGCAGTCTTAAGTCCAAAACAATTAGATCCCAAGGCAGCCAAAAGTGTGTTATCTAATAGTAAAGATCCCCAGGAGCAGCTGCAGGGGGGTAGAACTGATCCAAAGCAGGAAGGAAACAATAGGAGTGGTCCCAGTAGGCCTGGTTTACCCGGTGCTGCCTTCGCTAAGAGCTCTGCTTCTACTCCAGATAAATCCATTGGCATCAACGCGACAGTGACAGCAGGTCCTCTGAGCATGAACAAAACCTTTAAACCATCAGGTATGGGGGACAACCTGAGAAAGGCTGGAGCTGAGAGCAGTGACTCGAGGACTCCAGACCTCAGCTCTAAAAGCCCCAAACTTCCAGCTCGCGTCCTGGCTCCCGTCGTTCCCCCACACGGGCAGCCACTTTCTCTAGGCAAGGTGAGGCAGGGACTCGGGGCCGTCAACTGCTACAGGGGAACTCTCGATTGGGAGGACAAATGTCGCCTGGAGGTGGTGGAGGAGCATTCACCTTCCCCTTCTCCCTCCCCTACCGCTATCACCCCCTCCCTCTGCGGGCCTTCCCTTTGCAAGTCGCGGCCTGTCTCCCCTGGCGACAAGACGAGTTTTGTCAGCCAGCTGACCACTGTGGCCAAAAACGTCCTCGGGCCAATCAAGCTGGGTTCCCAGGATGGGGCCAAGAGCAAAGACCAGCAGACTAAGGCAGCGGAGGAGAAGCAGGGAGGCACAGCGGGAAGGTCTGACACTCCTGCTGGAGGTCGAGTGCTTGTTGGGGCTGCAGTGGTGACCCAAAGTCCTGCTGGTTCACCACTAGAGAAATCTGCAACAGGTAGCAGCCTGCCAAAAATGTGACCCCATGGGGTCCCTAAGTGGGACTTTAGGAAAAAAAAAAAAGAGAAAAAAGATGCCTTTTTTTTTTTTTGGAGGAGGAACAATGCAACAGAAGTGAAGCACTTAAAAACAATGTACATTCCAGTTTCAGAGTATATAAAATATTATTTATTGATTCCAATCATTGACTGATTCTAACTTAAAACCAGGAGTAAAAAATCTACTGTAAAGGTGCATTAACTATTGATTTTCTATTATAAATTATTTAATAATGAGACTTCTTAATGTAATGTGGAACACTTTATCAGATGTATATGTGTGTGGGTCTATGTGAACGCATGTCATAAGGTATGTACTGTACAAGTATAGTAGGTACAAGGGGTCAAAAAGTGCTTTACCGATCAAAACATGCTGAATACTGTGAATACCAAATCCAGTCACTCTATTTTGTCTTTCAACCAGCCCTTTCTTATTTTACTGCTTATCAAATCAAACAAGGCAATGAAGGCAGAGTCGACCTGTTATACTTTCATCCAACAACACAAATGACCCACAGCATCAGTTTGGCTACAATGTGCAAGCAACGTGATGATTAAGCTCATTTCTTCTTCATCCAGCAGTTTGCTTTCTCTGAGTTGCACAGTCAGACAATGCCAAAGCAGGCACCCTGTCAGTGGAATGTCACATCAAGCACTGTCCAGCTCTGCCTGTCGCAGAGGGGTGTGTGTGTGTGTGTGTGTGTTTGTGTGTGTGTGTGTGTGTGTGTGTGTGTGTGTGTGTGTGTGTGTGTGTGTGTGTGTGTGTGTGTGTGTGTGTGTGTGCGCGCGTACGTACGTACGTATGTGTTACTGTGTGTGCGAAGCCACCTTGGGTCTATTTCTGGTGGTTCTTGAAGGCTGTGTCCTGCTGCAGAGGAAAGCTGGGGTGACAGAGCTCAGGCTCAGCGCTTATCTCCCCTTCGCAGGAGGGCTACCACAGCCCTTTTCTCCCTCCACTTCTGACTGTCAGATGACAGCCTACACACAAGCACATGCACAAATTCACAAACACATACACACATTGCCACAGGAGGCAGCAGTGTCAGCAGCTGATTTTCATGCATTTAAATCCATCCCCCTGTGGTCCGTGAATTGGGACGAGAGTGTGGTTGCGAGTGAGTGAGTTAAGAAGTGTGTTAACATGTATTTGTCTTTTCTAGGGGTAATTAACACTCAGCACAGTTGACCCAGCAAGGGTCATTACCGAAAGCAACCTGGACATAAACAGTGAGCAGGGAGGATCCAGTAACTGTAACAGGTTTTTACTGACGGGAACAAAAATCACCTACTACTTGATTAACAAACCACACCGGCACAGCGAAGATTTATTCTTTGAATATAGTACATAAAGGTATAAGAAAATATCATAAGCACATACACAGTGAACCCATTTGAAAGAACAGGAAAAGCAGGCAGTCATGGATGTAGCATACCATCATTTATTTGTTAAAGGGCTCAATAGCTAATGTAGGGTTTGTGGATATGGGCATGGTATATCACACTGAACCTGTTAATGTAAAAAAACAAGGTTATCTACAGTATAATGTGTTGTTAGGTACTACAAGCTAGGTAGTAAAGATTGATTAATGTATGTAACATACTGATAATGGTGTTTGAATCGGTCTCAGCCAGAGTGCAGAGAAGAGTAAAATGTTCACAGGACAAAAACAACTTGTGTTCCTCTCCTACTGGTCTTATTCATCTCCTTATTGTTCATATCTCAGTAACTATCCAGTGTACATAATCTTAAGCAACTTATTTACAGCCATGTGGGAGGACCGCTGTCACTACACAGCTTTGATGCATTTTTAAATTTCACTTTCTGCCAGTGATTTGATTGACTTTAGTTGGATTCTTCCAAGCTCTACAAATGTAAACTGATTCAGCCAGCAACAGCACATGTAAACTTCACAACAAGACAGTTCAAAGGCTGAAATGTATTTTCTGGTCCAAACTTTAGTTTCTAAGAAGTAGTTCAGTGTGAAAAACAGTTTCAACTTGCTTAATATTAACGTTTATTCTCCAGCTTTGGCTCTCAGCTGTTTTGGACGGGGTAGTTAGTGTACAGTTGTGCTGGAAGCGGTTGCTTGTTGTTTAACATGAGCTGGCAGCAACATTTTGGTTTTAATAGGGGTAAAACCGAAACAGTGAGCTGGAAGTGGCTAAAGGTTTTATATATATGTTGACAGAGAGAGCTGCAATGTGGGAAGCTAATTTTTTGCAGATTTGGCTGGATATGACCTTTCATATAACCGGTCATTAATATAAACAATATTGGTCAATGTATTTTTGATGCAATATAAACCTTACATTGTTTCATGTTGTACCAATGATTTTACACCACCCCAGTAAAAAGTCCCATGCAGTACATGCATTAGCCAGTCAGTTTTATTCAGTGTGGCACTCTACTGCCCTTCAGTGGTTCACAATGGCCACTGTTGAACATGTCTCCATAAAACGTTTATTAATAATTCGCTGGGAGTGAGAGTTTCTGTAATGAAGCCAGGACCACTGATTTACTGCAGAATGGATGTTATTAGCCATAGGGTTACTGAATATGCATTTATGTTTCTAATGACAGAATATTTGCAGTAATTATCAGATGAACACTTGAAACATGAATTTATTCATTTTCCGTTGTCGTGTTCTTCACGTGACTGTTAATTATATCTTCTGGAATATAGGGATTAACATTTTTAAATATACTGTCTTATATATTCTACTGATAGGAAGGAGTTCTTTTATATCTTGATGTAACAAAGGAGTCATCAGGTCAGCTCTGTTCACCTGATTAAGAAAACTAACTGTAATGTAATCTTATACAGCTATTATGCCCACTTTCAGGCCTTTTCCCAATCAATGGTGTCTATACTAGTGTTACATGTTTGAGAATTTCTTTTTTCTTTTTGTGATTGACAGAGAGAGTAGTATAAATGCACTTTATTTGAAAAAGAAAAATCTTCATTTGCTGGTATTGTTTGTAAGTTACATTGAGGAAAAGTAAATATATTGTATACAAATATGGATTCTACAAATGAACACAAAAGTCCAAGTATAAAAACATTCCACATTTCTCTGTTCACTGAAAATGTATTTATTTGTACCATTGGGGCATTTTTGTTTGTGATAGATGTGATTCAAATGCAGACACCTGAAGTGCAGTATGTGGAATAAAATTCTGAGATTTGTTCCAAAATTTGCATCTTTCTGACTTTTTTAATTTAGTTGACTATAATCAGAGATCACAAGCCACCCTAACACAATCTCAGTACACTAACTGTAGACAATTTTCACAGCAAACATTTTGACATGTAATAGCAGGTGTAACGAGGTGTAATGAGCTACTGGACACCCGAATTTCCCTTGGGGGGTGGGGGATCAAATATCTATCTATCTAACTACTAATATTGATTACGGTTTCATTTAGGTTTTCCAGTTCCAGGACCAATGGCATGGCTCTACAGTGTTTCCTAAAATGGCGGACAGGAGAAAATTTTGGAGTGAAAAACTGTAACAGCAGACATTTTGACTTGTCAACACACATGGAACTAATAGTATTATTCATTTCTGAAGTGCAATATTTGCTGAAATGAATGCTTCAATGCAAAAAGTGTGGTGTGAAAAATGTTGTGGGAACACCTATTTATTTATTTGACTCTATTTGACTGGGCATGACAAAAAATAACAATCTATGAATTAGGAATTATTTTTCATTTCAAAAGTTTAACTAATGGAAACCCCTGGATGACTTTAAAAACAGTCCCCAATGTCAAACTCTGAACATGCATCATTCTGCACAGTGAAGGTCAACCTTCCAGTTCAAGTAACAGAGGGGGACTTTCATGTTATATTTTAAACCAGTGCTTTTCCTGCTATAAAAACAAATCAAAACGTGTACAGCAAGTACTATTGGGGAATTGAATTTGCAGTTTAGGTTATTTTAAACCTCAATAAATAAAATTTAAATAAAAGTACCACCAGTGACTCATATTACAAATTATAAATGTATCTATACAAATGCATATGATTAATGTATTTACTATGATATGATTTGTTGCCTAGGTTACAGGTTACATAACCGTGAGAGTTAATATTAGCCAGTAGCACGCTTCTTATGGCCATTATTCGAATATTACCCAATCAGCTTTCTGACAGCGACTACTCCAACCAATGACGTTGTGTCAGGAAAGGACAACAGGAAGTCAGTGTCCTCTGTTGTTGAAGGGAGACGCCAAAGCGGCGGCTGCTAGACAGGGGGATCAAACCCGCAGTGTGCTGGATGCATTTCACAGCCGTGCGGAAAAATTGGCTTGTCTGGCAACTGGAGGGACGCTTACTACACTAACATAAGCTGCATTTGGTTGAAAAGTCGTGAAGATATTCGGTCGGGGCGTCTTGAATGCTAGCAAGCTGGCGCCGGGGCTAGCGCTTAAAAAACGCTAAAGTTAAGCTAAGCTAATAGTGGACTAAATTTACCTGAGAAGACTGCGATCCTGGGCGAGGAAAGAAGAGAAAACGCCGAAATGAGTCAAACTTCTACAAGGTTCCGAGCAGCTTAACCGGATTTTACAGCAGGTACCTAGCTGTCAGCTAGCGAACTTTTAATTTTAAACGAATTAGCTATGTTTTAAAGAGGTCTACGGGTACCTGTGCGGTCACTTGATTGTTAGGCTTGGATGGTGTGTTAGAGGAAAAACATAGTATTTATTAAAAAAAAGAGAGAGAAACAGAGAAGTTATTGCTTCTAGGTCGTGGGACCGGACAGTACATAGAAATTACAGTAAGGTTATTGGTCAGAAAGGCAGTCAATGTCGTGACAGACACAGTAGCAATGTGATTGCATTAGACGTTTAACAGCTTGATCTACGCTGATGAATGATGACAGCCACCATAATCAGGTGACTTTCAAATACGCAGAGAAAGCCTGGCATGCCGGTTGTCAAATGCTAATCACATGATGGCTTTTTTTCACAGAAATATTCCCATCAGTGTAATCAGTGGCCACACATCTACTATTGTTCCCTGGTAAAGCTGCTACTCATCAGTTTCAGGGTAGAAAAGTCACTGGTACTTTCCTTACGTGTTTGGTGCGTTGTGAAATCAGTAGTTGAAGACTGATGACTTGAGTTTACACTGACAAAGCAGCATTTATTTATACCTTTTCAGGAAGTGAAGATTTGCTTTTGTCATATAGAATCATATCTGTAGTGCTTGTAGTGTTTTCCTGTACAGTGGGAAAAAAAATGTGATTAGAAGAATATGGAAGTTCATTCTTAACCCCTGAAATTTGTTTGACAAAAAAATCTTGACTTGACTGACCAGTAACACATTTTTATTATCAATGAATTTGTTGAATATTGTCTCAATTAAGTGACTGGTCTTTAAAGAGTGCAAGTTGTCATATTCCAATTGCCTTGTTTTTGTTCAACAGTCCTAAACCCAAAGATAATTTTAGATAATGTGAGAAACTACTTTTGTCAAACTGCTGTCAAGAATGAACTTTGCTCAACATAAACAGGCTTTATTAAAATTGTTTGTTGTGATAAATTTACTGTCAGTTGACTAATTGACAATTATTCAACTAAATGTTTTAGCTCAACTTTCAACCATTCTCAAGGTCTTCATCAGTGGATGGAGTTTGTTCAGTTTTCATGTGATTTGATGGTTTTGTGTAGTTTGTAAAATTCTAAAATTATACAGCCAAGTAGCCAGTGTCTCCTCATGTTAATATATAACACCAGTTTTTAATTTTTCAGTCACCCTCTGAGTAAGAACTTGCTAAAGAAAAGTGCAAACAAAAATCTAGTAGATCAGTGAATCTTAAGTGAATCAACCTTTCCACTACCATAGTTGTTTCGTTTTTGGAGAGCATGAGATTGCACAGCATGTGCAAAGTTACTCCAAATAAACACTGACCAATGAAGAGCTCGCAGGAGGAGTCATCAGACCATGACCAGTCAAGTCAAATCATTTTTATCTATATAACTAAACGTCACAAATGACAAATTTACCTCCAGAGTGCATCACAATCTACACCCTCTGTCCTTACACCCTTGATACAGAAAAGATAAGACCCCTATTCAAGGACAAACTTGGTATGTGACATGCAATAGATATAATATGTACAGAGTAGACAGAAGAAGCAATGGTAAAATGACAGTGGTGAAAAACAGAATTTTAGCCAATGTTAGGTTAAGAACAAAGAAGTAGAAATACAAAGATATTATTTTACATATTAATTGTAATAAGTGTTTTGAGCAACAAATGTGAACATCTGTAAGCTGTCAATAATTCACCTAATGTTGTACTCCCTTCCTCCCTTTGTTCTCTCCAACAGTTCTGTGTTGCAATGAGGAGCCCCAGAGTCCAGCTCTGAGCGCTCAGAGGCATGAACTCAGTTTCCCCCAGCGCAGCACAGTACATAGGGGGAGTGATGCAGGATGAGCTGGTGGAGAATAGGAGGCAGCAGCCCATGGAGCGGCAGGGCAGCTTTGGTCTCAGGCTGCCTCAGACTCCAGATCCCAGCAGAGAGGCAGCCGGAGAGCCTGATGAAATGGACAAACTGAAAGCCAAACTGATGTCAGCATGGAACAACGTCAAATATGGTTTGTGTTTAGCCCAGGAACAGTGTGTGGGTGCCTGTGCTCTAGATTTACAGCATGTAGTTTTATTTCTTTCTTTCTTTTGGTCAACATGTTTGCTTTGGGATTGCCCCTTTTACCAACCTCTACTTTCCTTGCTCTCCTGTCTGCAGGTTGGACTGTTAAATCCAAAACTTCCTTCAACAAGATGTCACCCGTCACTGTCCTGGGACACTCTTATCTACTCAACAGTGAGGGTAAGTTCTAAACACAAGCATATCTCAAATAACTGTAGGTCAGTAAAGGCCATTATATGTTAACACCTTTAATGCAGAGTAGGTAGCTGTATTTCTTCTCTATAAAGAGAAACTTCAGGAAGATGTTGTAGTGATGTGTGCTTTTGGTTAACCACAGTGGTTTGGACCTTTTTTTTCTTTGAAAGGCTGCAGGGTTACATCAAAGAACACAGAGCAGTAGATGGAAAAAGAAAAGAAAGCTCCCCTCCTTGTCTTTTATTTCACAAAAAATCATGTAAATTCATCTTTGCCTTTCAGATAATCATCACAAACAGCTTATTGCTTGAAAAAACATGATCTAAAGGTTGTCCTTTTTCATTTTCTGTGTCTCTTCCTCCATCCTTTTACCTCACTACCTCTCAGATGAGGTGGAGCGGTTTCGCCTGGCTTTTGTTTCCAGGGTATGGCTCACATACAGGAGGGAGTTCCCTCAGCTGGAGGGCTCCACTTGGACCACAGACTGTGGTTGGGGCTGCATGCTGCGCAGTGGCCAGATGCTGCTGGCACAGGGACTCCTGGTTCATTTGATGCCAAGAGGTTTGTGTCTTTATGCATTTTCACGCCCGCACATAGAAATATATTGGTATATTTACTTGGATAGAAAGCAAATCAGCACCTTCGAACAGGCTGTTTTATCTTGTTCTGCCTAAACAGTAAAAAAAAAAAAAAAAAATACAGTTTTCTCTCAATGTGGTGTCACTCCCATGCGTATAAAGCAAATGCTCTTCTTAATTGAAAGGATACATCGACTCAAGACCAATAAATAAAACCTGACCTCTTGCATCCTTTCTGTTTCTCTGATTCCTGTGTTATTCTTCTCATTTTCATCTCTGCTGTGAATTTTTATTGACTAGTTTATTTACTTATCCTGTTTTGTTTCTGCTGTTTGTTTCTTATTGCTGACAGAGTTTATTTCCGGCCTCTTGCATGCTGCTTTTCACTTCTGCTCTGTCTATTTATAATGTTTTCATTATGTTTTCATGCTAATTAGTATGGCATTCAAAACATGCCTACACCTTCACTATTGAAAGCTAGACTGTTGAAATTCAAGAAAAAATACCCACACATCTTCAACCTGGTTGTACACAACGGCTAAGAAGAATCCTTTTTTGTATTCCATAGATTGGGCTTGGCCAGATGCTCAGCAGCTAACCGATGTGGACTTTGAGGTGTTCAGACCACGTTCCCCAGCTCGGGCTGGTGGCGTCCCCATACCTTCTTTTGGCTCTCCACGAGGATCTAACACCCCTGAAAAGTCTCTGCCAAGCGACCAGGTGCCCAAATGCAGCCAGAAGAAGAGACCTGAGTGTGCTAGGGACAGACAAGCAGAGCCCATCCACCACAAGTTGGTGACGTGGTTCGGGGATCAGCCCCCGGCACCTTTTGGAGTTCACCAGCTGGTGGAAATCGGCAAAAGTTCAGGGAAGAAGGCTGGTGACTGGTACGGCCCCTCTGTAGTGGCACACATACTACGGTAAGAGCTCCATGTTTGAAGAGGCACTGTTTCTACAAACAAAGTTTTACTATAATCTTACAACTATTTACATAGTTGACACAATTAGCATTGATTGGATTTATGAATATGTTTGTTTTTTTTAGGAAAGCAGTAGCCAAAACCGCTGTTGTTCACAACCTGGCTGTGTATGTGGCTCAAGATTGTACAGGTGAAATTAACAGACGTTATTTAGTATTTTCAGAGAGATCAGTTCAGAGGTATTAATATGTTTATTTTTTTTGCTCCAACATGTACACCGGAATAAATCTGGCACGTATTTTTATGCATTCATATTTTTTTTTCTACCCTGTGTTTGTGCTTTGTAGTGTACAAAGAGGATGTGTTGCATCTATGTGATCTGTCACTAAGCCAGACTCCTCCTGATCCGTCCAGCCAAGCCTGGAAGTCTGTCATCATACTGGTGCCTGTCCGACTGGGAGGGGAGGCCCTCAACCCATCTTACATTGAATGTGTCAAGGTCTGTATATTCTGCTTCATGCCTCCCTTCCCTCAATCTCTCGGAGTTGTTGCCCAAGAGTAACGTTTCCTTAAGAATTTTAAAAAAAGAAAAGAAGAATTAAAATTTTTCGTTTCTAGAACATCCTAAAGCTGGAGTGTTGTATTGGAATCATCGGAGGAAAACCGAAGCATTCACTCTACTTCATTGGCTTCCAAGGTGAGAAACATGGTTTGTGAAAGAATGAAAGGAAGGAAGGAAGGGAATAAATAACAATATCCATATTCAGAGGCAGGATCTGGTTTTCTTTGAATACACAATGCAAAACCCAGGACTATAGAGTGTCAGCAGGTTTCTTAGCAATATATCCCTAAGAAAAGTAACTGTTCTTGTGGTATTATCAAGACACAGAGGTATACACTGAACATATTGTACTCTTAATACTGTATATCTTGAATCTTGTCTTTCCTGCTTGACCCACCTGTAAAGCTGTAAAACTTAAACTTAGGCTATGTAAACGTGAGCAGAGAAATGCTGCTCTGCTTAGGGCAGTTTGATAATCATGAGGCTGTCGCTTGTGAACCGGTGGTTTAAACCTCTCACAGTCCTTAGAAACAGATAGAAACTTGTCACATAAACTGTCTTTCATATTACAGCATGCCCACGCTGTTTCTGCACATTATTTCCCACATGGGTTCAGTCAAACTGGAAGGCACCGCTCTTTTCTTCTTTTACTTTTAGGGGCTTTTCTAGTGGCGCATCTTTCCCAGGGAAATCATCTCTGAATCAGTGATGTTGGTTGTCTGATGATGATAGTGGGTCAGCTGGTTAGATTTTCTACACTGAACCTGAGAAAAATTCGAACAACAATTTTAAACAAAGATGTGTAAAGTGTAAGCACAATTAAAGTGTCCTGATGCTCGTTGCAGTGTTGGGAGCTATGGAAGCGTTGCCTTCACCCCATCCTATATTTTTGTATATCAGGAAACCCTTCTCCTAGAACAGTTCTTTTTAGTATAGTACAGAAATAACAGTGCCAAGTCATCAATGCAGCTCCATCTCCATCAAAGGTTTTCTCATGGCAGAGTGTACACAGGACTGTTAAAGATGTAAATAAGACACCTTGTTTAATCATTATGAAGATTGTATGAACACTTCTGGTAACTATGTTAGGTTTGACTATATTGACTACTAGACAATGAATCTATGAATCATCAACGAGACACACAATAGAAGAAGTGAAAATAGTTTCAGAAACCAAACCTGAGAGGTCAGGCCCTTTTATAACATGTTAATACAGTGATTGGGGTTTTTTTTTTTTTCCTTTTTCTTTTTTAAATACTACATGCTACATGCATCAGTGGTAACAAAATCTGACAATAGAGAGACAGTAGATATATGACAGCCTTTCGTCTGTGTCTGGCCAAGTGCTTAGCAGGTGGACACTTCATACTTTGATGCTGTGTTTTATTTCCTCTTCACAACTTCTCCTTTCTGTCTGTCAGACGAGCAGCTGCTGTATCTGGATCCTCACTACTGCCAACCTGTGGTGGATGTAACACAAGTCAACTTCTCACTGGAGGTTGGTTGCACTGTCCATGTCTCTTTTACATTTTTGTCTCATTCCTGTCCGTCTGGACTTTTTTATTTCATGTTCCAGATCATACTGGCTCATTAACCTTAATTATTAACCTTAATTGTATGACCTCTGTCTCCCTCTACCACTCTCTAGTCCTTCCACTGTACCTCTCCCAAAAAGATGCCCTTCAACCGCATGGATCCCAGCTGTACCATCGGCTTTTATGCCAAGAACAAGAAGGACTTTGAGTCTCTGTGTTCTGCTGTTAGTGTGGTGAGTTTGTACACCCTCCTCCTACTGTCTGACCCTACATTTGTTACCATGAAACATCAGAAGAACAGCAACATTCCTGCTCCTTGGAAGTATCTGTTCATAATAGTTATAGTTTGTAGTGTAGTGCAGAAATGATTCTTGTAATCAGTTGTTATAGTCATTAAGAAGCCAAAATGTCAAATATTCACTGGTTGCAACTTTTGAAATGTGAGGAGTTGCAGCTTTTTGTTATTCTATATCACTCTAAATTCAATATCTTTAGATTTTGTGCTGTTGGTCAAACATCACTTTGTGCTGTGTTGGACTGTGATGGACATTTTTCACAATTTACACACATACGCATATGGGAATTTGCTGCTTTTCTTTGTCATTTATAGTATGACACTACGTTGACTAGCTTTGGTATTTGAACTGTTCGTTGGATACAAGCGATTTAAAAAAAAAAAAAAAAAAAAAGTTACTTTGAGATCTGGAAATTTATAAAGAGCATTCTTCACTATTTTGTGACATTTTATAAACAGCACAAAAAAAATATTATATGGGAAAAGAGACAGCAGATTAATCATTAATGAAAGTATTCATTAGTTGCAGCCCTACATACATTTTATAGACTAAACAAATAATTAATTGTGAAAATGGTCAACAAATTAATTGATACTGAAAATAACAGTGTTTTCCCCTTTAATCACTCTACGTCTGATTATATTCTGTAGCGTTTTGACTGAGCTTTGTTGTCCTCCCAGGCCCTGTCATCATCCAAGGAGAAGTACCCCATCTTTACCTTTGTAGAGGGCCAGAGTCAGGACTATGGACTTGAGGGTCACAGCAGCAATCACAGTGGATCTGCAGCCCACATCCTGCCCCCGGGAAAACTGGGCAGGAGTAACAACAGAAGAAACAGTGATGAGTTTGTGTTCCTTTAAGTCTCAGGGGGATGCTCTCCCAGCTCTCACCTGTAGGGGGCAGAAAGGGAACGGTTTGTTTCCTTTCAAATGGAAGAACTCATCTGTTGCAGCTGCAAGGTGGACATGATGCTTTTGTGCTTTATCACCCTCACTGGTGAACAGAAATAAAAAAAAACTGTGTGGTTCCTGTCATCACCTCTCTGTGGATGAGTATTATAAGCTATTAGGGCATTAGGGTTGGAGCATAACTTTACTGGGCAAAGGCACGATTTTAAAATGGATCATGGTTAGAAATGTTTCATTTAGTATTCATGATTCACTTTATCACACACCCAAAAGAAAAAAAACCCTTGGACATGTTGGAGCAAAATCAAGCGCTTTAAAGTCCTCAACTCAGTTACAACTCAACTACTGTGTTTTCTTTGGTCTTAACTGGACACACTGGAGATGATGTGTGGTCTACATAATATGTAATGAGCTCACTGGTCAGGTGAGCGGCTGCCTGACATTGTTCTTGACTTGTATTATATACCAGCTGCTGTACATCTCCTTTTTTTCCCCCCTTATTTATCAGGTTTCTGAATGTGATTGTGAGTGTTTGCGTGTGAGTGAGTGTTTGGGTTAGTGTAGTTTATTCGTTTTGTCTTTAATCAGCATCCTGATGTATTTAAGAGTCACATTGCAACTCGCAGAGGTTTCAAATTCTTCCAAGAGCATCTTCTTTCTTCACTTTCTGTATTTTCAGTTGCAGCTCTTGATTCATGTTGCGTTACATTTCGTGCGGTCTCTCAGAGTTGTCCCCCACCGTCCTGCTCGCCATATCTGTGTTGCTTGCTTCATTGCTAGTTACTTTGTTAGCCCGAGGCAGTGTCTAAAACAGTGTGTTGATTTTCTGATCAGGGGTGTTTATCATTCATGAGTTTTTTTGTTTTACTCATGAGTTCTTCTCTTAGGCAATTTTGTGAATATAAAATGATAAATTTGGCAAATACTGCTTAACAAACACATTTGAGCGTCTTTGCGTCTTCAGCAAGCAACTGCTCCTCATCACATCATCACTGGACTTCCACCTTTCAAGAGCAGCTGTAACTTCATTCTAGTGTTGCAGACTGGCTGAATATCACACAATTGACCCCAGGGTCTTGATCCCATACCCTTCCAAATTTGTGGCTCTCTATTATTCATCATTAAGATTATGAAACTCTCAGAAATCTGCTGTTTAAATGTTTTGTTTGCTTGAAGAGTTGTGTCATCTTCCAGATAGGGGGTTGAAGACAAATGGTCTCTTCAGTCGGAAATGGATGCGGATCTTTAACTGTCAAATTGTGGCTTGTCACATGAAGCCAGATTACGGAGTTATCTGGATTACTTCACAAAGCAAAACCCCAAGCAGCTCTTTTTACTTAAGCACAGGTTCTGGGTCTACCTTGGCCTGCACAAGCTGAATGGAGATTTTGCCTGGATCTTCAAGCTTCTGTTGCAATGTCATTTGTGTTTTGTTTGTCCCTTTTTTACGTGAAGGCTACTACTGCAAGTTGCACTACTGTCATTTGGTTTGTTGTCCTGAATAAACTTCAAACACTGGAATCACATTTCACTTGTATCTCATACTTCATAGATTTGCATTTTGGAAGAGCTGCATTGTGGCACTAGAAACTTGTCCTCCACAATTCACAGTTGGCATGATGAGCTTTTAAAACCAACCCTGTCCTGTGATCTGGAGTCAAGTTCCCTCACTTTGAACTCATGTAAGGGTGTGAAATATCTTTACTACTTAGAAACACTTATGACCATCGGACCTCTTATTCATTGCAGTGTTCTCGGCATAAAATAATTCTGTACACGCAACCCCCAACAAACAAAGTGGCTTCAGAACTACACCAAATGTACTAGACTTCAAAAGGACTTGAATTATGGCATGCATTCATGTTACAGGGTGAAAGCTGGACTTGTCATGACATTGTTGGTAGCAGTGCACATCTTTAGGTAACATATTTATCATTTATTTATTCAGTGACAGTCATCATGCACAGAAAAGGTGTCATGATCAGTAAGTAAAAAATAGGCCTAAAAAGGAAAAAAAGTCCTGTTTGATTTATTATTTTAGTTTAATGTATCTATTTTTATTTTCCCTGTGTAGTGGTAGAATAATCATGCCATTACTCGCCTCATAACCAAGATTCTCCACGATACAACAGTCGTATATATCATAATTTATGAAAAAATAATTGAATAGAACAAGAAAAGTAAACACATTGATCATTTTTAGCATTTAAAGGGTTTTTTAAAGTCTCAATTTAAGCCTGATAAAACTTGCAGACTCGTATCTACATAATATTTAACGTGCGTGTCGACAGTAACATTTGAGCACATCTGTAAATGATTATATGGCGTTTACAAACTGTATATATACATTTTCTTAAAAACCTACAGTCCAGACTTGATGCTCAGTGTGAATAGAGCCTTGCTGTCGCTGCGCACGCATGCGCACTGGCGGACGGCCGTGACTAGACATTCGGTCATAGGAGCGGTGGAGGGGGGCGCTCGAGCCACGTCGGTGAAACAAATCAACGCTTGGAGGCAGATTACAAAGAGGGTGAGTACACTAATTGCAACAGCAACTGCGTCTTCTTTTATTTCTCCCAAATATCAACTCGGGAGCGCAGACATTCATCCAGGACTGTCTGTCCTGTTGATGCGGGTAGGTCAGTCGCACAAGCACAGTCCGCCATTCCCCTTTTTTATATTTAACGAGACACGTTTTTGTGGTCTGAGTGAAGACATTTCTGAGTAGCATTGGGTCATGTGCATAATTGACTGTATTTCCCCGTGTACAGTTCAACTTCAGTGCTAGACCTACAGCTGTAATTGCATATGCGCGCAACGGGTGATTTGGTGCAGCGCAGCAGGAGAATGGAGAGTCCACAATTTGAGAGGCGTTGGACTAAATTCACCCATATCCTGCAAAGATTATGCATCCACTTCATTTATTACAGTTGAAGTCCCAAATCCAGCTTCACTGTCATGATATTTTTAAGAGTTTTGTCTAATCAAACCACTAAATTAATGCTCATTTAGATGAGTAACTTTTGCATAGTGTATTGTCATCATTTTGAGTTTAGCAAAAATAATTTTACTCCTCTCTGTCATTCCCTCCTACCTTACCTCTGTCATTTCTCTCCTTTCTCTCAGGTCCCTGCTGCTCATCCAGGAGCAGGAGATCCAGGGCAATGTCGACACCAGACCCCCCCATGGGAGGCACCCCGCGCCCAGGTCCTTCCCCTGGGCCGGGTCCCTCCCCTGGGGCTATGCTGGGCCCCAGCCCCGGGCCTTCTCCAGGCTCCTCTCACAGTATGATGGGCCCCAGCCCTGGTCCTCCATCCTCTGGACACTCACAACCAGGGCCCTCTGGATACACCCAGGACAACATGCACCCTCTGCACAAAGTGAGGACCCTGACAGCACTAACAGGCCCACTGAGACACCCCATCACTGTTAATTTGAGTCCTTGAGGAAACAGAGCCCACAAATTTAGTGTGATTTATGCATATTAAACATCATATTTACATAGAAATGGATGTGAATGGAGTTAATATGAATGAATATTTATATGAGGTAAAATCCGCAGCAGAACATAAACTTGATCAGCTGTAGATTTACAAGGCAGATTTGTACTTTTATATAACATATAGATAATATAAAGTATATGACAGTGCATTCACTTTAATCAGTTTTCCGCTCATGTTTTGTAACACATACACAAAGGGAGAAAACAATCATTAGTGTAGTCTGTAAAAGCTGCAAGTAACTGCAGAGCTGTAAGTCATGCTCTGTACCCATTAACTTCATGTGTCCAAATTGTCACTGTCATTGTCGTACAACTCCTTACATTTCATATGATATTATTGCCGTTTTCCCACAGGGACTAACAGTTACATTTTCACATTGTTTGTTTTCTCCCACAGCCAATGGAGGGCATGCATGAGAAGAGCATGAGTGAGGAGAGCCGCTTCAGTCAGATGAAGGGACTGTCTATGAGACAGGGCGGACACAGTGGTATGGGCCCCCCACCCAGTCCTCTGGACCAACACTCACAAGGTAGACATGCTACATAGATTCATCTTAAGCAATTTTATCATTTCCAGCATTGTGTAAGACAAGTTCTATGTTTTTAACTATGACTTATTCTTAGTGGTGTGGTCATGTGGCCTGGTAAACTCACAGGGAGTGTCTCCACTGTCGCAAGCTATGTAATGAACCAGGAGCTATGTTTTTAAACTCTTTATGAAGTGTCTTTAAGTATAAAAATAGTGAAAATCATATAGCTCAGTCCACCTGGAAAAAAACAAAGACAATGTCAACAGTTTAGCTTCCTTCAGATTGGTATAAAAGCAACAAACAAGACAGACAGACAGACAGACGAGTTTAGCATTTTGACATTATGTGAGTTTAAAACATTGTGAAATAATTGGCTGGCAGGATTTAAATAAGATTAGTACCTGTGGCAACAAATGACAGACAAATCTCTTCTTGTTACCTAGACAGCCTCTGGGGAGGATGCACACTGACAGTCACTATAATATTATACTGAGAAAATACCAAAAACCCACTGTTGAGTAACTGTTCAGTAAATTTACAAAATACAAACAGATAACAAATAGATGTCATGAGGTGTATTTTAAGGAATGTTTTTAAAATATTATGTTGATTTTAGACATTACCTACATATATATAAAGCATGTTAAACTTACTGTAGAATCACAAGAGTCCTGACTAAGATATTACTGGAATATTATAGGAATGTTATACAGGGCTTTTAATAATAACCAAGTGGTCTGATTATTTTTTCTTTGTTTGTTTGTGTCTTCAGGGTACCACTCTCCATTAGGTGGCTCCGACCACTCCAGCCCTGTCCCTTCAAATGGCCCTCCCTCCGGTCCTCTTATGCCATCGTCCTCTTCTTCCTCATCCTCCGGTGGCCCCGGCTCCGCCTCTGCACCTTTAGATGGCCCCGGTGGAGATCAGCACACACTGGGTCCTAATAACCGTCCTGGTCCTCCAGGTAGCTCTAACCCAGGCCCCAGCCCTGGACCCAGTCTTGGATCCAGTGTCCCCAGCCTTGGATCTGGCCTTGAATCTGGTGGCCCTACTGGCCCTGGAGGTCCTGGAGGCCCTGGTGGCCCAACTCCCTTCAACCAGAACCAACTCCACCAACTCAGAGCCCAGATCATGGCTTATAAGATGCTGGCTCGGGGACAGCCCCTGCCAGACCACCTTCAGATGGCTGTCCAGGGGAAGAGGCCAATGCCTGGGATGCAGCAGCAGCAGCCCATGCCCAGCCTGGCTCCTGGAGCTGGAGGTGGGCCAGGAGGTGGACCAGCAGGACCTGGGCCTGGGCCAATGGGCTCAGGCTACAGCCGAGCTCATGGTGAGCATACACGGAGGAAAATCTGGAATACCAAGCTATATCCTATGGTTTGATGGGTAATTGATAGAAGACAAATTGATACCTGTATGTTACATTGAATCCTTGCTCACAGCTGGAGCTTCTAGCTCTACTCAAATTTTCAAAGACCAGTGTAATAAATGAGCAGTTACATTTGTTTCTTTAGGTATGATGGGTCCCAACATGCCCCCACCAGGCCCATCAGGGACCCCAGCTGTGATGCAGGGACAAAACCCAAATGGGCCACCCAAGTCTTGGCCTGAAGGTATGTGGTGTTGCTATAAGACCTTGTGAAACTTCTCTTTTGCCTCTTTTGCTGTTTATCTAGAATTAGTACCTTTTGTAGAAACCTAAATTGGATATTAGTGGGAGAGGGGCTGAGTGAGAGCTGGTATGCCTGTATAGATTCCACTTATTACCCCTAATCCAGGTGAGAAAATTAATCTAGTGATAAGATTAGGCATGAATTATGACTTTAATAAAAGTCATAGCATGTCATAGCATTAACATCATAGCATGAAAATCACTGGTGTAAATTATATCTTTAATAAAGGCAGGATTACAGTCAGGTGTCCCGGTTTCAGATTACTAGTATTTTATATGCTGTCTCAGTCAAAGTGAATGCTGTGAAAAAGTTGACTGTGACTACAATAGTTACTATCAACAACTTTGTATGAAAATATCGGTATTAATTTTCAAGATCCATCCAGTTCCAACTGTAGATGTAATTCCATCATATTATGTAGACTACAGCAGTATTTACAGCAGTGTGCTATTGACCTCTCCTCACTTCATGTCCCTCCAGGTCCCTTGGTAAATGCAGCAGCTCCCTCAAATGCACCCCAAAAGTTGATCCCCCCTCAGCCCACTGGCCGGCCCTCTCCTGCTCCCCCTTCAGTTCCCCCCGCCGCCTCCCCAGTAATGCCTCCACAGACGCAGTCCCCCGGCCAGCCAGCGCAGCCTACCCCCATGATGCCTTACCACGCCAAGCAAAACCGCATTACCCCCATACAGAAACCCTGCGGCCTCGACCCAGTGGAGATACTGCAGGAGAGGGAGTACAGGTACGCCAAGGCCTTTGGGAATTTAACTTTTTTTCTTCATCTCATTTTGGTTTTTCTGGCTTGATGAGTAGATTATGACATAATGGAGCTTTTAACAGTTTAAATCTAATTATTATCATTCATTCAAATTATGTTTAACACTTAAAATATGTGGAGCATACTTTTAACAAAAATACAAAAAGCATAAAGCATCAGCAGATTATCGATGAAATAATAATAACAACTCGGCACTCATTACTTCCTCAGGTTACAGGCTCGTATCACTCATCGTATTGCTGAACTGGAGAACCTGCCAGGTTCTCTTGCTGGTGATTTACGTACCAAAGCTACTATAGAGCTCAAAGCCCTTCGACTGCTTAACTTCCAGAGACAGGTATTGTGTATACGTTATCCTCAATACTTTCACTTTTGACCTTAACAACATCACACATTGCCACTGTGAATCAAAGACCTTTGCCTTCCACAGCTGCGTCAAGAGGTGGTGGTGTGTATGCGTCGTGACACAGCTCTAGAGACTGCCCTTGATGCTAAGGCCTACAAGCGTAGCAAGCGTCAGTCTCTGCGAGAGGCCCGGATCACAGAGAAACTGGAGAAACAGCAGAAGATTGAGCAAGAGCGCAAACGCAGGCAGAAACATCAGGTAGTGGACAAATGCAGCCGTAACGTTACCTGTGATAATATTAAAAACATTTGATTGACTCCTTACTCTTCTCTGTCCTCCTCCCGCTTTCGCCGCTCTAATCCCAGGAGTACCTCAACAGCATCCTCCAGCACGCCAAAGACTTCAAAGAGTACCACCGTTCAATTACAGGCAAAATTCAGAAACTGACCAAAGCTGTGGCCACTTACCATGCCAACACTGAACGAGAGCAGAAGAAGGAGAATGAGCGTATTGAGAAAGAAAGGATGAGGAGGCTTATGGTAAGAGGAGAACATAATGGCACCACAAAGACACAGTTAACACACAAGCATTCACATTACACACTCACCATTACACACATCCTCCATCCTCTTGCTCATACTGGATATGTGTCTGTGTCTTTCCAGGCTGAGGATGAGGAGGGCTACCGTAAACTGATCGACCAGAAGAAGGACAAGCGTCTGGCCTACCTGCTGCAGCAAACTGATGAGTATGTTGCCAACCTCACCGAGCTGGTCAGAGCTCACAAGGCTGCACAGGCCCTCAAAGAAAAGAAGAAGAAGAAGAAGAAAAAGAAGAAGGTACATTCTGCTCTGTCAATACTGTAAAATCTGTTTTTTTAATGATTTATTGTTACAGGCTGTGGTGCACTGTATATCTGTTTGTTTCTGTATATGTGCTGCTTGGTGCATTAGTGACTCAGTTGTGATCTGTTTTGTAGTTAGAGAACGCTGAGGGTCAGACTCCTGCCTTGGGCCCTGATGGAGAGGTGAGCTGACCTTTATAGACGTTAAAATTTGTAACTTTGTATAGATAACTGTAGATCTATTCCAGCAAGGAAGAAATATTTAGAATTACAGTATATTCACAGGGACTGGTTTTATTTAAAAAAAAATCCCACTTGCTCTTTAAATATGCTGGGTTCAAAAAGCAAACCTTATATCTTTATTTTGTTGCTTTGGTCTCTATAGAGACATGATTTAAACATAACATAGATCGAATTTCACACAAAGCTTTGGGGGGTAGTGTTTTGCTTTTTTTTGTGTTGTTATGGCAAAAAGTAGCATCTGTTCTACTAATCTGTCCATGTCTCCCACAATGGTTTTTTGTTTACTGGTGCTGTGCAGCATTCTAATTTTCATCAGGCGGCTACCAACACTCATCAAATGATTTACCGTATATATATCTCAAAATGATGGCAACCTGAAACAGCTGATTCAAAAGCCACTGGTTACAGCCCCGGGCAACCATGTGTGCATGAACACAATGAAGCAATGCACCAGTGTGTGTCCTGCAATTCCTGTCACCTGTTGTCACAATCAGACAAAACCTTAAAGAAAAAAGAACATTTTTCATATTACATACACTGTAATAAAACATCACTGGATATTTGCTTGATGTTATTTGTTTGTTAAATTGGCAAAACAACAGCCAATGTTAATCTCAACCTCAACACACAGTCTAGCTATCTGTGGTTTAGGCTCATTTACATCAGCCACCTTTTAATTCACCTAACCTGCCTCCTCTCCCTGTAGCCACTGGATGAGACGAGTCAGATGAGTGACCTGCCTGTAAAGGTCATCCATGTTGACAGTGGAAACATCCTGACAGGGGTGGATGCTCCTAAAGCTGGACAGCTGGAGACCTGGCTGGAGATGAACCCTGGGTGAGACTGGAGGGAGAGAGGAATAGAGATTTGTGTATGCAAATATGTGTTGAGAAGAGGTACATGTCTTTTAAAGCCACGCAAGAGATGTGGCTGTGGTTGATTGAATTACTGTATCTCTGCATTAGATCTACATCTGTGATGATCTCCCGACTTCCAATGCCATCAGCTGGTTTGAACCTAGTTTTAATTTAAATAAATTTATGCTATAGTTAACACACTCAATGTTAAGGGTGCTATATGTAAGTTTTTCTATTGCTACATAGCCAATGATAACATTAACAGCTGTTACTTACCAGTCTGGAAGAAATGTCACGAGTTCAGCATCAAACTTCATTCCTATTTTACCAAAAGCTGTCTGCAGCGATGGAAAGCAACGCCAACATTGACTCTTGTTTTGCTTGTTTCTCTCACGTATTTTCTTCTACCGATGTTAGCATGCTATCCAGCTATCCCTGGCTCAGCCATCCCATCACTTTCCGATACCGAATCACTGTAGCGTCCAGTCTGCCCTGAAGAGGTAGCGCAGCTCAGAGGGCGTGTTATGACTTTTTTATTGTAAAAACAATGATGGCTTAAGCTCTTTGCAAGCAACCATCACTATCTACCGCTCCCGGCAAGAAACCACATTCAGTGGTAGAAAAAACTTACATGTAGCCCCTTTATATGTCTTAATATGGGCAAGTTAAAATGATAACATGCTAATGTTAACAAAAACTCTAAACATTGCATATCAGTGTGTAAGCATCTAATAGTTGTTTATATGCTAGTTTCCTAACATGCTAACTGTACGATAGTGCGCTAAAAATGACATTGATATACATGAGCATGCTCACTTGCATACATTAAGACATTAACATACCAAAACTCTTAATATTACATGCTAACTGTTATGTTATTGTCTGGGTAATTGTTAGCCACCTCTGAAGAACAGCAGACCGATGAAAGTTGTAGTGAAGATAAATGTTTTTAAGTCTAGGTAAACACAGTCTTTCCACCCCCAAGTTTTCAGCTGCCCAACAACTTTGTTCCCCAGTATGTTTGTATGTTATAGCCTCAAAGGGCGACTAGCAACGCTAATTTTCAATTTTTATTTAATTTACTCAATTGCCTTTGAGTGTGTGGCTCAAATATAGGTTGGGAGTATACAGGTGCTTTAGAATGACTTGTACAGCTGAAATGTTCAGATAATGGGGCTGTTGGTAGATTTTGTTTTGAGTATGTTTGCATTTTGTCCAGTTATGAGGTGGCACCCCGCTCAGACAGTGAAGACAGTGAGGAGGAGGAAGAGGAGGAGGTGGGTTGTTTTGTTCTGACACGTTTGAAGCCTGTCTCATAGTCGCTGCTCCTGTCACTGACGAACTGCTGTTCCCACCATCTGGCAGGAGGAAGAAGAGGAGCCACAGCCTTCTGCAGCTCCAGTGGAGGAAAAGAAGAAGATTACAGACCCTGACAGTGAAGACGTGTCAGAGGTGGACGTCCGACACATCATCGAGTGAGAGCATAAATGGTGTTCTACACCACAATTTAGTATCATTTGTTATTTCAAGAACTCCCAAACAAAAATGCATGTGCTCGTGTTATTACAAAAGACTAAAAATTACAAATGGCTTAATGCCATGATTGAATAAAACACTTTGTGTTTCCTCTGCAGAAATGCAAAGCAGGATGTGGATGACGAGTACAGCGGTGCAGCCTTCGCTCGAGGGCTCCAGTCTTATTACTCAGTGGCTCATGCTGTCACAGAGAAAGTGGAGAAACAGTCCAGTTTGTTAATAAATGGACAACTCAAACAGTATCAGGTAAAAAATCAGATCAATTATGTATGTATGAAAATATCATAATAGCAATTATTATGATCTTTTCCACCTTGCCATGCACAAAGAAATGTTTGAACACTATGACCCTGACGCAGGAGATCAGCTGCAGGAAATACTTGTCATCTTTGACAGATTTCCTCCCTCACATGAATTTCCCTGTCAGATTAAAGGGCTGGAGTGGCTTGTTTCCCTCTACAACAACAACCTGAATGGGATCCTGGCGGACGAGATGGGTCTGGGAAAAACCATCCAGACTATCGCCCTCATCACGTACCTCATGGAGCACAAACGTCTCAATGGACCCTACCTCATCATTGTACCCCTTTCGTGAGCTAAAACTCTTGATTTGCAGAATATATATTGTCTTTTTTGCTCTTCATCATAACGTCACTTAAGCCCTGTTCAGACCTGGTGTTAACATGTGTCTTGGGTGATTGAATCACAAATGAACAGCTCCGTACTGGTGTGAATGCACCCAAGAGGCATTGAGGACGCATTTGAGATCTGATCACTTTCAGAAGTGGTCTGGGCCACATTCTTTTAGCAGTGTGAACGCACACGTGAAGTGTGAAGTGTGAAGGACTGATGTCCTCTGCCACAGTTTAATTAGTCCTGCCACAGTTTCATAATGAACTGAAAATATTTTACCATTTCAAATGGCTAAAATCTTATTTTATTGTAGAGCTGTGCACAGCGCATTGATTTGCTCAACCCCTCCTTGCCCCACTCTCTCTCTCTCTCTCTCCCCCTCTCTCCTTCTCTCGCACAAACACATTGACAACGGACCCATCTGTCATAGTTGGACTGGCTTAAAACAACAACACATATGAGCTAATTTGCGTGGGGGAAGCGGGGGAGCGGGGAAGTGAGATCCAATCAGAAGTGGTCACTCGAGATGTATGTGGAGCCGTATTCTAATGCCAGGTGTGAACCGATGCCGATGTGCTCTGTGCTGTACACTTGTGATCAGGGAACCCGAAAACCCATGTTAATGCCAGGTGTGAACAGGGCCTTAGAAACCAAGAACTAACTGCTGAATGACGACTGAGCTATCTCTCATTGGCAGAACTCTTTCTAACTGGGTGTATGAGTTTGACAAATGGGCACCGACAGTCGTCAAAGTGTCCTACAAGGTTAGTTTTTGCAGCAACACCACCAAAATTGTATGGTTCTTACTTCCTAAGCACAGAATATGAGGATGTGTGTTTCTACACTTCCATTATTTATTTATTTTGGCCTTTTAGGGGTCTCCTGCTGCCAGAAGAGCCTTCGTTCCCCAACTACGTAGTGGAAAATTTAATGTTTTACTCACCACCTACGAGTACATCATCAAGGATAAACAAGTACTGGCCAAGGTGAGATGGGGTGCACAAACAGAAGGATATTCACAAACACATTACAGCAACGTAGTGTAATTCTTTCCTTCTACACGTGTATACATCCCTGCAACAAGATGCTGTTGCTTTTGCTTGCTAATTATTTGATTTTGCTTGAAGTTTCTTTGTTTGTGTATCGTCTCCCGCTACCTAAATCCCCAAAGTGCTCTAAAAGTGTTTGAGTCTGGCCAATCTGACCGCCCTCTGTGCTCCGTCTCAGTGCTCTCTCCTAGGTCCTGCAACATACTGACACCGCCTGTAAACCATCTTCCACTGTCCTCTGTGGCCATCATGCTGCTATGCACTCATGTAGTCATATAGGCTTCCTGACTGTTCTGCCAGGTGGGTATTGTAGTTCAGGCAAGAGTTTCTCCACGTGCTGGCTCAAGGCTGCGGCTTGGGGCTGAGCCAGTGTTGGGCATGAGGACAAACCTGACAAGAAATCCTCCGTTTGAGCACATTCTGTTTTGTTTGGGTGGGCAGAAGCAGTAAGGCATCAGAGTAATAGGTTTATCCACGTGTGCTTCTCTTCTCTTGTGTTTTCTCTTCTCCTCGTGTCACTTCCATCAGATCCGTTGGAAGTACATGATCGTTGATGAGGGCCACCGTATGAAGAACCACCACTGTAAGCTGACCCAGGTCTTGAACACACACTACCTTGCCCCACGGCGAGTCCTCCTGACGGGGACACCGTTGCAGAACAAGCTGCCTGAGCTCTGGGCGCTGCTCAACTTCCTCCTGCCTACTATCTTCAAGAGTTGCAGCACCTTTGAGCAGTGGTTCAACGCTCCGTTCGCCATGACTGGAGAGAAAGTGCGCAGGACTCAGTCAAAGCTACACCACCGTTTAGCAACGCAGTCCGCTAGTGTGATTTGTTTCTTAGTGTTTGAGAGATGCCAAATTCTTTTTCTCTCCAGGTGGATCTTAATGAAGAGGAGACCATCTTGATCATCCGTCGTCTCCACAAAGTGCTCCGCCCCTTCCTGTTACGCAGATTAAAGAAGGAAGTGGAAGCACAGCTTCCAGAGAAGGCATGGCTCACCTCTTTCAGCACACACAGCAGATAGACAAACATAAACATATGCACACACGCAGAGACTCTGTGATCTCTTAACGGATGATAAACAAGTCCTCTGGAGTTGTCTAGCATTATTTTATGCTGTAATATTTCTAAAACTGGTTAATTTGATGAGAGATATGTCGTGTCTGTGACCAACCTCATACGTCCTTTGTTCTCAGTTTCTTTCAATAATTGTTTTTGTCTCTTCTCTCCTTCAGGTGGAATATGTGATCAAGTGTGACATGTCATCTCTTCAGAGGGTGTTGTACAGACACATGCAGGCCAAGGGGGTTCTTCTGACTGATGGATCAGAGAAAGACAAGAAGGTGAGGGCATAAACACTGTGACTGTGGGTTTTAGCTTTTGGCATCATTATAACTTAACACCATCTAAAAAAAAAAAAATAGGACAGAATCATATGTGGTATTAGATGATTTATACATTAGTGCTTTGAGGCTTATAACAAGTGACAGGTCCAGAACACATACTGTGATCTGTACCAGAGTGCAGGTTTGACCTTCTACAGAAGGTTAGAGGAACCTGTACTGTTCATTTCATATTCATAAAGCACCTTTTTGAAAAACTTGTGTCCGTATACTGTATATATGGACTCACATAACATTTACAGCACAGGAGAAAAAGCTGCCCTACAAAATGTTAAAACTGATCTCAGCACAAGAGCTTTTGCTGCATTTAGATGAAATGAACAAAAATGAAAATGAAACACAAGATGTGTTTTTTTTTGCTGATGCTCAAGTCTTAGGCTTAGGTCCTTGGCTCTAAGAGCTTCTTTGGAGCCTCGTGTAATTGGCTGTCACATTTGATTATTTTTTAGATACGTATTGCTTTTATTGAAGTCTGCTTAAAAAGAGAGCATTGATAATTGTCCTTGGATGACTCTTCATAAATAAAAGTTGACTGAAAAACACATTTTATCTTGTTGTGTTTACCAGGGTAAAGGAGGCACGAAGACACTGATGAACACCATCATGCAGCTGAGGAAGATCTGTAACCACCCTTACATGTTCCAGCAGATAGAGGTACCACTGAGAAACATTTTGTCTCCGGTTATTTGTTTCACCTTATTTGAAAGACTTTGAACACAAGATTTGTCAGGATATTAGGAAGTGTAAAATGTAAAAAGTACATAGACTCCAAATCTAAAAATCTTTTTTTTTTCTCATTTCTCATAAGGTTGACTTATGATTCTACAGGAGACTTGACAATATGAGCTTCAAGATACAGCCACAATTAAACTGAAGTGTTTAACTGTGTGTATGTGAAAAGAATATATTTTTGACGGTTTTTGCAGGAATCCTTCTCTGAACATTTAGGATTCTCTGGTGGGATAGTCCAGGGGTGAGCGCTAAGATCGCACACAGATACACAAACATCACAACTAAATGCCCAACCCTAACCCATACACAGGTCCCCATGGGTTTGTGTATATTCAGGTTGAAGTACACACCAAGATACGCAACTTGTAATCCTATCTTTCCTCGTTTCCATCAGGCCTGATCTTTATCGGGCATCAGGAAAGTTTGAAGTGTTGGATCGTATCCTGCCCAAACTGAGAGCTACAAACCACAAAGTGCTGCTCTTCTGTCAGATGACCTCACTCATGACCATAATGGAGGACTACTTTGCATACCGCAACTTCAAGTATCTGCGTCTGGATGGTGAGACAGTTTATATGAGTGTTTATTTCTGTGTGTCTTGCTGTCGTCGAGCAGTTTTGTGCTGCAGTTGGTCCATTTTTCTCACTGTACTTTGTTCATTTCCCTTGAATCCTATTGCCTTCATTCCATTTGCTTTGTTCCTTCCTTAATGTCGTCCATCTGTTTTTCCTTCTCATTTCGCACCTCCTTTACATCTCAGGCACCACAAAGGCTGAAGACAGAGGAATGTTACTAAAGACGTTCAATGATCCAGAGTCGGAGTACTTCATCTTCCTCCTGAGCACAAGAGCTGGAGGTCTCGGCCTCAACCTGCAGTCTGCTGACACCGTGGTCATCTTTGACTCTGACTGGAACCCACATCAGGTGAGATGCACATGTATTTTCATTTACGAAAGGCACTATTTAAAAACAGCAAGTGATCACCTTGGAGTTGCTTCAAAATTCAGCAGCTGGAGGCTAATTTTCTGCTGGACACTTATCATACAAATAACAGTAGACACGAACACGGCCACAGGCCTCACATTCAGAAACCAGAGTTAAGGACAAGACAATACAATGATTGATTACCAGCAGTCACTTGGTTTGAGTTCAACAAGAGAATAGTGGGAAACTTCTTCCAGTTTATTATACCAAGACAAATTTCATGTCTCAGAGGATTATACAGTGTATGATTTTGGGGTTTTTCATAGGTCAGCAGCCACAGGCAGTCTGCATGAATGTGGATGTTATTCATTCTCAAAGCATGAGTCTGACATTAATTATTACACAGTTCTGGGGGGAAAATAACATTAATTTACTGCTTCTCTCTAACCTCCGCAATGTAGACATGACAGTAAATCACCAAACTCACTGATTTCATTTATTATGTTTAAAAGAAAAACATAATTTGTTTAAAATCTGAAATACACAGTTCTCTAAATCTGTAATGTTGTCTCTGAAACGTAATACAGTACCCTGCAGATCAGTATCAGCCCTGTGGAGGCAGATTTTCAGTCTCTAGCAGCTCTGTTGAGTCCCCCGCATGTTTCTCAGAATGTAAACATCAGGGTGTTTTGGAGATTTCTAACAGTAAAATTGAATTCACAGAGCAGAGACTTGTAGCTTTTGCTCTCCATTTTTCCAGAGATGAAGTTTCTTGTTGGATTTTTTTAGATTATACCCTTTCTCTCAATGGCATGTGATGACCATATTTTCAGCCTGTCGGAACATAGAAGAAGAAGTGAAGTCCTTTTCATACAGTGGTGGATTTAGAAGTTAAGTGCCACTGCTCTAACGCTTTCTCAGAGTAAACTTTGAACCTATACTAATTCTCTCTCTCCTTCCCATTTGTGTGTCCAGGACCTGCAGGCTCAGGACAGAGCCCACCGTATTGGTCAACAAAATGAGGTGCGAGTGTTGCGTCTCTGCACAGTCAACAGTGTAGAGGAGAAAATCCTTGCCGCTGCCAAGTACAAACTCAATGTGGACCAAAAGGTCATCCAGGCTGGCATGTTTGATCAGAAGTCTTCTAGCCATGAGCGCAGGGCATTCCTGCAAGCCATCCTGGAGCACGAGGAGCAAGACGAGGTCTGGGGTCAAGAAGTGTGTCTACGCATGAATGTGTGTGCGTGCACCAGCAACACACAATTTTAAAGGGTGTGCTTTCTTATGCTCTGCTTGCCAATGTGTGTCTGCTGTATTCAGGAAGAGGATGAGGTGCCAGATGATGAGACGGTCAACCAGATGATCGCCAGGAGCGAGGAGGAGTTCGACCAGTTCATGGTAAAATTTTTTAGTTTTGAAGACAATATATGACATGAGATATGAAATCTTCTCTCTGCATCTTTGTTTCTTTCCTCCTTTTTCTTCCTCTCCCTCCTCCAGCGTATGGACCTGGACAGGCGGCGAGAAGAGGCCCGTAACCCGCGGCGAAAACCTCGTCTGATGGAGGAGGATGAGCTGCCCACTTGGATCATGAAGGACGACGCAGAGGTTGAGCGGCTGACCTGCGAGGAGGAGGAGGAGAAAATGTTCGGACGAGGTTCTCGGCAGCGAAAGGAGGTGGACTACAGCGACTCACTGACTGAGAAGCAGTGGCTCAAGGTTATTAGCCCATATGGGCAATTGGCGGAGGGAATTTAAAATACAAGCAAAAACTTCCTTGCTTTGCGTAGTAAAATGTTTGTTATTTGTTATTTTTACCTCGAGCAGGCGATAGAGGAGGGAACACTGGAGGAGATGGAGGAAGAGGTACGTCACAAAAAGACGACCCGCAAGAGGAAGAGGGACCGGGACCTGGATCTACCTGGTCCCTCCTCTTCCTCCGGGGGACGAGGACGAGGGGACAAAGATGACGATGGGAAGAGGCAGAGGAAGAGGGGACGACCACCTGTGGAGAAACTTTCCCCAAATCCTCCTGCCCTCACAAAGAAGATGAAGAAGATTGTGGACGCTGTCATCAAATACAAAGACAGGTAGCAGAAAGCTTTGGCTGCAGTCTGAGACACATATGAAGTGCTCTTTGAGCAAAACACATTATATATGCACATTGTATATATTGCCTGATATTAAATTAAAGGTGCAGCAATATTTTACTGACCCATACCATGGCAACCATTCAACACTGGACTGTACCGTGTGTCAGGCAATAACAATAATAATAATAACAACTTTATTTATATAGCACTTTTATGTGTTTTGAAAGAAAAGTAAAACCAGATAAAAGAAAAAAGTGAACATCATAAAAAGTGTAGAATAATAATAAAAAAACAAAAAAACAACTCAAATCAACTGTAAAAAGATCTGACAGCAATAAAATATGTACAAACAAGGGATAAAACAATATAAATAAAACACAAATCATGGCAAATCAGGTGTTACATAATTTTTTTGTGAAAATGTTCTGGCCAACCTGAGGTCAAAAGAGAAGGAGGTGAAAGGGACATTAATAGAAAGTGAGATAAGTCACGGATTACCTAATGCATCATGCAGTTTTCACAGTTGCTTACACAATTATTTCTTACAACAATTCGTCAGTTTCCCAAAAAAACAACCACCTGTTCTGTAATCACCAAAACCTCAGAGTTTCAAAACCATATTATCTTGTATGTGAATTAAACATTTTCATTACTGCTATACCACCTTAAACCTACAGTGCTGATGGAAACAAATAGCACTACATGAGTATACAAGTTGTTAATCAGTCACTAAACATCCATTTTCACAAGAGCATAAGCACAGCACAGTTTGCACTGTAAAATAAAATAATAATACTACTATGCTATATCCAATTTCACAGTTACATTTTCTGAGTTTAGTGTAAACGGAGTTAACATTAGCCTGTTCAGCGAACAAACAGTAGGAAGAACCTGCCTGTTTCATCTGACTTATGGCGATGCACGGCAGGCTTGTCAGAATTATCATGTCTTTTGTTGTTAATACACTTGTCTGACAATTGCTGCAGATACAAAAGGCATCTCTAAAAGTATAATAAACAAATAAACTAACTAATGCATTTGTGGGGTTTTGCAAAAAATAAATCTCCAAGTTTGGTGAACAGTGATGAACAGTACAGACGGGGCCTGAAGCTAAAAGTTAATGTTTAGGAGGTTTTATTCATAGACCTGATTTTAAGAAACTGTTCCAAAATGACAGTCAGAGCCACAAGTTATCTCTGAGCCATGTTTAAATGGAATAAATTAGCATGGATAAATTTGTTTAGATGGATCACGATTGAGCACATTCAGATGTTTGTGAATGATGTGTTTTTGCTCATCCTGATGACATCCATCTCCTGCAGCGCCAGTGGGCGTCAGCTGAGCGAGGTGTTCATCCAGCTGCCGTCTCGAAAAGAGCTGCCAGAGTACTACGAGCTGATCCGCAAGCCTGTGGACTTCAGGAAGATCAAGGTAAGACCAGAAAAGATCATTCCAGCTGGGAACAACTGGTCACTGGTTCAGCAAAGTAAAGCACAAATAAAACAAATATATATTTTGTTTGATTATATACCAAGTGACTATCACTCCTTTCCAATTCTAGGAGAGGATTCGAAGTCATCGCTACCGCAGTCTGGGTGACTTGGAGAGAGACGTCATGCTGCTCTTCCAAAACGCTCAGACCTTCAACCTGGAGGGATCACTGGTGAGATGGACCTGCTGCATGAACACAGAAAAACACCTGCTGACTTGGTCTCTATTGTCTTCCTGTTAGAGCTGTATATAAACCTCTTACTGGGTGTGTGTTCGGTTTCCACCGGTGACCGAAATAAAAATTCAGGTCTGTCTGTCTTGTTTTTATATTTCACACATTACTGGTTATATATTTAGGAAACTGGGAAGGTCGGTGGATTATAATAAAATGTCAAAAGTCTGATTGATGGAATTTAGTGGGATTTGTACATTTTTTGATTGTATTGTTGTTAATTTACACCAATTGCCCTGAAAATAAAAGTAAATAAATAAAAATAAAGATCAGTATTTAGTATTTAGTTTTTAATAGCCATAACTGATTTTAAACCTGGAGAAATTAAGCATCTTGCTGCTGATTTGCCAGGCAGGTTCCTGTAAATATGATGTTTCAGTCTCCCCCTTTCTCTAAGATGTTAGTGATGATACATTACGTGCGGACACTGGGGACTGTTTGTTTCTGTCTCTGTAACCTGTATGTAGACGTTGATGATAATAAGCAGCTGTTTTCTACCATGTTTCTCTTATGGGAGCAGATATACGAAGACTCCATCGTGCTCCAGTCGGTGTTCACCAGTTTGAGGCAGAAGATTGAGAAGGAGGAGGAGAGTGAGGGAGAGGATAGTGAAGAAGAGGAGGAGGAGCAGGAGGAAGGATCAGAGTCAGAATGTAAGAGCGTTTAGTTTGTTATCATTAAATTATCTTTGAGTTAGTAAGTGTTTTGCTTTGTCAGCGACTTTTATTCATACTGTACCATGTTGTGTGTGTGTGTTTTGTGTCTGTCTCCAGCTCGCTCAGTGAAAGTGAAGATCCGTCTGGGCAGGAAGGATAAAGGTGGAGATCGAGGGAAGGGACGCAGCAGACGAACAGGACGCACCAGAGCCAAACCTGTTGTCAGTGATGACGACTCTGAGGATGAGCAAGAAGAGGTAGATCATGCCGTCTGCGTGTGTCTTTGTGTGTCTGGGTCTAAACTTGTAAAAATCACTTGTGATTACAGTGGAAATTGGGATGGAACTGATAAGTCAAATAAAAGGAGAAGTCATGCAGAAGCACACACACTTTGTATTGTTGTTGTTGTTGCAGTGTTTCTTGAAGGAATTAGGACTGTATATTTGGACCATAAGGTCATTTTGCAAGTGCTAACTTTGCAGTAGTTTAGCGTTCAGACTAGACTGCGGTGTTAAAATTAGGATGAAATCGGGGAATGGCGATGAACAATGTTTATCGACCTTGGCAACGTGAACGTGAAGCATCTTTTCCATTCTTGATTCATGGCCGTTGCAAACCAAGTCTGTATTTTTTGTATGCATTTTTTTTATCCATTATCCGATAGGAATTGTTACACACAGAAACGCTGCACGCTGAGTCTGATACGTTTTATTATTCTATTTGTTACAAAAAATTCACAATGCAAGACAAAATGGACTCTTCAAGCAGTGAGGATGAGTTTGTGCTTCTCTCACCTCTTGAAAGTAGAAAAAGAAAAAAAATTGGTTCTAAAATGTTCTAACAATTAATATCTTTCGTTTGGCTGCCTAACGAGCAGTTTGATTGTTTGTCGTAAAGTGCTTTGTTCTGGGAGACGAAGTGAATCAGATTATCAGATGTTTGTATGTACGGTGGCTCTGAGTGGTCAAAACAACTCTCTTAAGGCTTCTCACACATGTGACAAAAAGGCAGGAATTCGAACCTGTTCCAAAAGCTTTAATGATGGACGAAGGTTTCAGGGTCTGTGTGCAAACGTGATTGACACAACGTGAGGTTGTTTTTATTTTCAAACGTGCAGCAATTTCTGAACAAAAAGTGTGTGGTCTGTGTCGTCTTTGTATTGCGTAGCCCTGTAGAATTTCAAAATGTAGAATCAATCAAAATCATGTTTTCTCTTCATCCTTTACGATCCCAGATGGGAAAATTTCTTTCTTTCTTCTCTTTGTTTGACTGTTTTGTAGTTAGTAGGAAAACCTCTCAACAGATTTCAGCTTTTCAACTTGGTGAAAATTTAAGCCATGAGAAACAAGCGACTAGTTTTTAGTGTAGATTTAGGAATTTTTCATTTCCTAGACATTTATCTGTTTGCTCTTTTCCAGGAGCGCTCCCCCAGTGCCACTGATGAAGAGTCCTGAACTGTACTGTGACATGGAAGAAAAGGGGGCATAAAGGGATATTCCACCACATATACAGTAAATAAAACATGCCTCTGTCAGCTCCATCTATCCTCAGTCAAATGTCAAAGGACAAAAATAGAAGGTTTGCAATACTACAATGTCACATGGAAACTGTACAATATCATAATCATACATGATAAAATACACAAATTAATTAGACTATGCACATCACTGCATTAAATTGATTCTTTTTCTCTGCTGTTGCTTAGTTGAAGGAAGTCTTAACAACAAGAAATCAAATGAGCTTTGTATCATTGTGTACAAGTTTTACTCAGTATGTAAGCACTACTTGAATGAGCCGGTTTAAATGTGTAAAGACAGTGGCTTAGAAAAAGAAAACTGATCAACATAAAAATCCAGCAGTTAGGGATGCAACAATAATCAATATAACACTATATTGTGATAATCAAGAGCAAACATGTTACACACTGGACTGCACACAGCAGAATTTTTCCCACATACTTCTCTTTTTAAGAAGCTGCTAGTTCTAGTAAAACATGCTAAAGGTGTGGCACCTGAAGCAGAATCACTACAGACTTACAGACACAGCTACCAGACACTGTGCAGTGAGGTTATCTTTGTCACTTTGGTATGTTTTAATGCCATTTGAGGATATTTTTTAATCCTATTTCAATATTTTTCTCAATGATATAATTCAATGAAGGAATTTAAACCAAGATAATTGTGCTATTAAATTTTTTATAATCAGCCTTTACTTACTGGGAGCCTTCCTCACCTCAACTGAGAAAACAGACTGCAAATGCCCTGAAGCCATGAGCAGCTGCATATTTCTGAATCTAACTGCAGCAATTACATTGGTAATACTCTATCCCCGATTTAGCATTTGTAAGCTGTATACAAACATTTAATAAAGGGTTTATAACACATTATTATGTAGTTGCACGCAGCTGTAAGGACATTTTCAAGTGTTCATTCATGTACAGTATTTGTCAGAAAATTATAACTTATACTATGAAAACATATTTTATATCATATTAAGTATCGATTTATAAACCAACCTCCACTTATGAGTGCATACAGGAGGTGTTATAGTTGTTGACAAATACATAAATAAACACTTCTGCTTATAACTGCATTATAGTCTATTATAAAACATTTAATAAATGTTTATATATTGTTTATAAATGCTAAATAAGCGAGTTAAGATTAAGTGTTACTAACCCAAACAAGCTTTAAGAAGAATAAAGCTTCAATTAGTTAAACTCTGACATAACTGTGTTGTTGATAAACAAGCCCAGAATTATCCAGGTTTTCTCATTTTGTTTGGACAAACTGTACTAAAAACTAGTTCCTAGCTAACCTGAAGAGTTAGAACTGTTGGGAACCAGGAAGTGAAGTAAACAACATTGAATATAAACAGAAAATATTTTCAGACAGAGCTGGGTTTTTTTTTTGTTGTTTTTCTTTCTACCCAGCTTGAAGCTAACACCTTACCCTACATTACTTCTGGATGTAAACAAACCTACTGCTTCACCTCTGCTTCACTGTGACGTGTCGTAACAGCCGCTTTGGAGCCACTGTGATTACTGAGGTGTGTGCACATCACATATTAGTGACCGGGGCTCACTGTTTGAGTTGGAAATCAAGCCCGCTGTGGGCGCGGGGCGGTTTCCAGACTTCTCAGAAGCTCTTTAGCAACACAGTAATTTGACTGAGGTTTAATGGAGTTGAGTCCAGGTTGCTCTCCAGTATTGTATATATGGTACAACAGTATAAAAACAAACTACTCCACCTCGCTGCTGCTTACCTGTTACACTTCCAGTATAAGCACTTATAACTGTTGATTGTAGACTTAAAGAATCATGAGGTTGTATTTCATCAATGAGTACTGTAATTTTAATTGCTTCTCCTTCAGTTATTGTGTGGTGATTTTAGGATTTCAGAACTATTTGATGTACTTTTGGCACTTTTTATGTTTTTGATTTCAAGACAAAGGACCAGAGGGACAGTGGCTCTTCTCTGCTTGTGAATGCCTGATGGCTGTATGGTGTTGGATACGCTGTATAGAGTTTTTTCTAGAATATAATGTCCATGCACGTGTATACAGCTCGCGAGTTCAGTACTGTACTTTTCTCATTATGCTAGGTTACTAGAATGAAGAACACATAACCAAAGCAACAATGTTTTCGCCACTAAGTTATTAAGATCTGTCTGTTGTGTTGTGTCATTATCGCTGGAACTTGAAACGTAACAATAAACCACAGTAAAAGTGAATCTTGTCGTTTGTGCGATGTGGAGCTTAAATAAAATATTAGATTAATCAATTAATCAAACAACAAAATGTTGCTGCTGTTAGATAATGAGATAGTTAGCAGATAGCTGCAGATAATTTATACTTTGAGTCACTATTTTCAAGCACAAAAACAAACAGCTGCCAAAAAGTGAAGATTTGCTTTTTGTAGAAGGCGCCTGATAAATAGATGTTATAAACTAATCTAATCTGATATGATAGTAAACCAAATATTTATGTGTAATGAACAGTTAATTGGACAAAACGAATTTGGATGTATTAGTTGTGTTCTTAACAGCTGGAGCTAACAGAAAGAATCCAAACCAGTTACTGTGTATCAGAGGGTTTTGGGTTTTGTCTACTAAAACCACTGCCGTGACATGCACTTTACTCTCGGCAGATTCAATCTGAATCTTTTGGGGACAGTAAAAACCTTTTATTTGACTGGGTTTTAAATATTGAGCTCAAATAAACCCAACAAACAGCTCAAACTTTGTCCATTAATGCTGAGGGGTGTAATGCCTCTGTCTGACCACTAAGAGGAGATCTCATGCAAATACAAAACATTTAGTTTTTTATCTAAATCATCACATTGGTCTCTGTTGAACCAGGATTTTTAAACCTCCAAAATATTCAGTGCTAATACTGTTTAACTCAAAACGTCCCATTAAACTTTTCCTCCAAAGCTTTTATAAACAAAAAGTTACAACACTTCAGAGTAAAATCATGCATCTAATGGAGTATTAAGTTATTACTTTAACCCAACTTGACCTCATTTCTTCATCAACATCAACATAAAATCAGGGTAGTAATTCCCCAGGTAAGGTCATGCAAATAAATGAAAACACACAAGCTCTTTATCCAGATGATATAAACAATCTTGGTATACCCCTTCGTATTTATGTTTATCTTGTAAGATGGTTGGCACAGAGAGAAATATGTTGAATGTACAGTGTGCGTTTGGAGGCAGTAACTGTCGAGATGTGTCTGGTTTTAAACAGAACCTCAACAGTGAGGCCTGTGTTGGAGGTAGAAGTGTTTGCTCCTTGCAGAGTAAAGGGGGGGGGGGGGGGGGGGGGGGGGGGGGGGGGGGGGGGGGGGGGGGGGGGGGGGGGGGGGGGACGACTTGGTTTCCTGATTTCTAGGAACCCCTAGATTGCTTCAGCAACTCAAAGCCAGCTGTTAGCATCTGCCGGAGGAGGGGGAGGGGCAGGGCTGCAACTCCTGAGCAAAACCGTACACTTCAACTGCAGCAGACTCGCAGGCTTTTACCAAAACTACTTAGGAGTAGAAAAAAGGGGCTCCACTGTTCCCACACCAGAGCATACACAGTATGCACACTTCACATACACACATACAACATGCTGAGCTCCGCTGATTACATGAATAACCATTCTTTTTGGGCATTTGTCAGTATGGGTGTATGGGGTCATTGTTTTTTTTCCTCTCTGGTGACTTTGAATGTAAATTCAATTTCGTTCTTCAAACAAGCGCATGGACCGAGTTCAGTTTACTAACTTCATGATGACCTTTATACTTCTGCATTTCAGCTATAAATTCTCAGATTAGAGCTTTAAATGAATAGAGGAACTTCCTTCAAGTTACATTTGTATTTGTAGGCAGGAGAGCCGACTGGAGGAAAACCTTTTTTTTTTTTACAGAAAGATACAAAAGTGTTCAGAAACTGTTAGACAACAATCTTAGGTATGCAACCCAAACTTTGTACAATAACGTTTTAGAGGCATAAAAAGTTCTGAATGACTGTTGAGTTGAGCTGGGGGGGTCAATGGTTAAGGTTAGGCAAGAAGCAGTTCGGGTTAGGGTGTTCTCCAGGAAATGAATGCTAGTCTATGTAATATCCTCAAACATGACTCAAGTAAAAATGTGTGTGTGTGTGTGTGTGTGTGTGTGTGTGTGGTGTGTGTGTGTGTGTGTGTGTGTGTGTGTGTGTGTGTGTGTGTGTGTGTGTGTGTGTGTGTGTGTGTGTGTGGGTGGGCTAATCAAATCTGTTGGCCCTGACAGAAAACATACCCACACACTGTGCACACAGTCAGGATTAGATAAAGTAGTGTACAGTCAGTGTATATTCATTATATACACATTATATTGTATTTCTCACTGACACTGTGTTTGATATAGGGATGAGTGGTAATGTCAAATGTATGATAGCAACTCAAGAGTCTCATATAATTCTCTGTGTCATGTGCACTGTTGATTCAGCTGCTCTCAGTGAGGAATATTTGAAAAACTAATCTCTGAATCATTGCCCATATTTTTTTTCAGAAATTCAAATAAGAAGTAATTATGAATGATAACAAAATGGTAATTCAGTCTGATTGTCAGGCTGCCAACCAGTGCTAGGTCAGAGCAAAGACAATGCACACGCATATTGACTGACACTGTAGATAGGAGCAGTCAGACATGTTGGAATATGTTAGCTGGACTTCAGAAAGCTGCTGGTTAACAGGACAGAATGATAAGTTGAAACTACTCTTTGTTTTCATCCATGTGTGTTTTGCATTTAGTTCAAAAAACTGGATTCATCTCCAAAGTGGTAAAAAAGGCACATTCCTGCTGTCAGATGAGATCCATGTATCTCCATGACTGTCAACTCCTCTTGCAGAACTGGAAAAAAAATGTTATAAACTTAGCAGTTAAACTTGGTTAAAGATATTGGAGCAAGCCTTTTTCACTGAAGACATGTCACAGTAGGAAAAGCATGGGTATAAGTGATAAATTGAATGATGACTGACTTACATTTAGCCGCTTCAGCTTCAGAGGCGTGGTATTGCGTATGTGCCGTCTCACTGTCACACTGTCATGGTTTATTGAGACACCCGAATAGCACAGAACCAGTTTAATATTATTAGTGACACCTTTGCTTTTCTTACGATAACATGTCAAAATGTCTGCTGTGAAAACGACGTATGGTCTCCTCTTATGAGTGTCAATTTGAGGGAATTCAGGCATCTAAAAATGTTAGATTTATCAACTTTGAAGTTACACAGGTCTCATGTATTTGATCTAGAATACAATGTAATAAAAATGGGACAACATTTTGGCAGCACAGAGGAGAAGATCTGAATGAGTCACATATGATTCACTTGTCGCTGTCTTCTTCAGTGAAGTTGATGTTTAACGAAATTATGTGAAAGGTGTAGATAGAAATGTACTGCGCTTTGCCCACACACGTGCACGCAGCAGCAGGCCTCTGTGTGTGTGTGTGTGTGTGTGTGTGTGTGGGTGTGTGTGTGTGTGTGCACTAACTGTGTGTGTAGTAATGGTGGGTGTAGCAAAATATGTAATCCAGCCGCTATTTCGACATTCCAGGAATACCTCCCACAGCTCGTTCCCTAGCCGAGGTCCTCACTCTCTCTGTATACACACACACACACACACACACACACACACACACACACACACACAGACAGTACTACAAGTTATTATCCAGTCATTTTATTTGTGGTTTGCAAACTATCTATTTGAAGGGACAGATGTTTCTCTTTAAGAGTTTAGTCAATAGATTATAGATTCAGACTGTGCCAAGAGTATTCATCCTAAATTTTAAAAACTTACTGGTTTCCAACCCTGCAACCTCTTGGTTCAGACTGGACACATTGACAGTACCCCCCCTCGGTCTGTTTCACCCCATAAATGTTATCATGGCCATGTCTGTCTCTACCTCACAGTGATGTCACAACACATAGTATTTTCATGGTGAGACAAAGTGAACTCTGCATGTGAAACAGTCTGATTGTTTTCATGATGATGCACAAAGAACAGTTTCATTCTGCATGTGTATGTGTGTGTGTGTGTGTGTGTGTGTGGGGGGGGGTCAGAAACAACTCTGAATCACTTTTCTAAGATAAGACAGTTCAGATCTGGATTCTTTATATCTTTTGGGAATTATAAATAAAGGGAGGCATAAGAAGAGAGTGATGTGTAGCACCTTCCCCAGTGAACATCACCTAGAGGGAAAAGATGAATAATCTTGAACTGTACTGCAGCTGCCTGCAAGTAAATCACAATGGTTCCTGTGAGCTGAAGTTCTACTAGAACTGCAGTCAGGGTTATCACATTTCATAGACTCATTTTGCATCACTTACAATGGCATTATTTTGTTTTGCAAATGCTTTGTTTGCTTTCAAAGAGGAACAGAATGCAGAGAGATAAACCTACAGTTTTACATTTGGACATGCCTAGTTTGATACTCACGTATCAAGCTAAAACAACATACTGACTTTTCACTATCAGTTCAGACGCAGTATCAGTAGATCCTTCTGTCTCTCATTTCAGTGAAAACACCCGCTGAGCTTTTAACAGGTTTTTTATCTACAATGAAAGGGTGATCCTTACCTAAACATGCCTACATTTATGTGTTGAATTTGACTTTTTTTTCTAAGGGGTAGGTTCACATTTTTTACCCACATGTCCAGTTTTTGCTTGCTGTAACCCTTAAACCTGTTCATACTGGCCATTGAAAGATCTCTCTCTAATGCACGTTAAATGTGAGTGATGGGGGACAAAAGCCACAGTTTTTGTTTCATGTTTTGTTTTGTGTATTCCAAAGTTTATGTGAGGTTAATATGAAGCTTCATTAGTGTTTTATGACAAAATTCCCTTTTTTGTTTCTATGCTGAGTTGCTGTGGAGGGATAAGACAAAGAAGAAATTTTAAACTAAAATGACTGTAACTCTGGTAGAAAACCACTTGATTTGTCTCACTCAGACTGGCCCCATATTAACTTGCAAATAAACTTTGCAATATATTTTTACACAGAATTGGATGTGGAGTTTGTCCCTCATCTTACATTGGAAACGTATAAAGAAGGGATCTCTTAGTGCCCAGTGTGAATTTGCATGTCGAAACAGTATATGGACATTTATTTATTGGTCTATAACCGATTATAATGTAGTTGTGAACAGATTTTGAGAGTTTTTTAGAGTAATCTTTCAACAACTATAATTCCTCCTGTCTGCACCCATAAGTGGAGGCTGATGTATAAACAGATCATGAAGATATTAAAAACAGGTGTATAAATATAAAATATGGCTTCATAAGAGGAGTTAAAAATGCATTAAAATGTACATTAATAAGTACTTAACAATGCTGAACAGGACTTAAAGTAAAGTCTACTATCTTTTACATGCTGTGCAATCATTCAATTTAAATTTGAGCGAATGGTTTCAGAAAACCATAACAATGTTCCCCACCACTCACCAAAAAAAAAAAAAAAAAAAAAAAAAAAAAAAAAAAAAAAATTATAATAAACTCAGTGAGAAACAATACGTGAAGCGTTTCTCTGTGTAAATGTGTGAGTCTGGCAGCAGCTGAGTGAAGAACTGCCTCCAGCTAGTCTCTGAGGGAAACAAAGCTTCACCCTGTAGTTTACTCACATTTTGCACACATGCTCACATGTGGTCTCACAGAGTAAAATCCCTTCAGTCATCCTGACTCTGTGCTGTGACTGAGGGAACTTTTGTCTCATCTATAAATATTGATATAAAAACTGTTTCTTCCTCTGGAGGTTGCCATGTCATCAGATGTTAACTTCTTTTGTTAATTCTGCCCGTTTCCTCTTCCTTTCATTCATTCTCTCTCTTACTCACACACACACGCAAAGGAAAACAAACCGGTTAGGGAGGAAAAGAAGGATGAAGGATGGTTGAGGGGTGACGGACAGACGACTTACAGACACACACACACACACACACACACACACACACACACACACACACACACACACACACACACACACACACACACACACACACACACTATCTCAGTGATACAACAACATTATGGCTCCTCCCCCTTCGGTGCTCACGTCCAATTTTAAACATCACACCACTGGTGTAGCACCGCCCTCCTGTCAGCCTCATAGAAAATGGTCAGATGTGACTCAGGCCCCATAATATTTGGCTGGCACTCGTCTTTTACGCACGGCTGGGTCGTGGCTCTGCTGTCGGTCCTCTCCATCTAAACTAGAGCCTTTTACGCACAGATCCTGCGGTGAACTCGCCCTCTCCTCTATACCTGTGCTCATACCCGACTGGCTTTCAATTTAGCTGTCAAATAAGGACAAATAAGGAGGACGGGACATGTTTGGGACGTGGAGGGGACTTGCCGGACTGTCCACATGTTGTTGTGTGCTGATGCTGATTCATTGTTTGCCTCAAGCAGGTAAGAAATTAGATTTCCTTGCAAGTACCTTCCCTACCACACAGGGATGCTCCAGTGTTTCGAAGTTGGCGCGGCTGATTTATTGTAGCTGTACATAAGAATATCAAGCTTATTCCATGTATCATAGTTTCTCCCTTGCAATCAATGGTAATTACTTTTGCCATTGATTTGTTTTGCTGGTCTCTCTGTATGTTACACATTTAAATGTTTCCAATAGGCTATTGCGCTGAATACGACGAGTGGAGAATTGCTTTGAGATTTGGTTCATTCTGAATTTGACTTTAAATCCACCTGTACATTCAATAGCTGTAATAAGCACAAGAAGGAAAATGTATAATTAAATAAAATCGTTAATAACAGCAGTGTGGTTTACAATTTTGACATATATGAATGGGATTTACGCACCGCGCTTTGATTGGTCTCGTGTCGCCTTAGAATGCCACCGAACAGCCAATCATGTTCGCCGCGTTGCCGGCCGGTTTCAAGTTTCAGAGAGGGGAAATAAACGTAGAGACAGGCGGCTGTCAGCGATAAAGGGTGCGGCTTTAACACCAGCGTTTTGGCATCCTCCCTGCAGCATGCTCAATGTGATGCAGAAAACGCTGCATTTCTCTTGTCGCTGGCCCTGTGTGTGTGTGTGTGTGTGTGTGTGTGTTTGTACCCCCTCCCCTTGTCAACCTATCCACTGGACAGTAATACCACACATACAGTAGCCTGAGAAAATAGCCTCTAAGGATTATACTTATATGGAGTAAATGAATTAATGAACATTTTGTGTGTCATATTGTACATCGAAAGGTCCAAAGGTACCAAGATACTACATATTTGATACATTCCACATTGAAACAAACCAAAAAACCCCCAATAAACCTTATGTCTTACAGCACATTTTGAAACAGAAGTTATGACATGGTTTACAGGAAGAACGAGGGTGAGAGGGGAGGAAACCTTATATGCAGAAAAAATATTCATACTTCATAGACAAGCACTAACTACTGCTGCATGACAATATTTAGCTCATATTATATGAAAATTAAGAATAACATGAAGGAAGAAACCTTCCTATTGTCCTCTCTGTGGCCACAAATTAATCATTTATTTTGAGACAACAACCACAATTGGAGAAGGAGTGAACCTAATGCCCCTTGAGGCCAACAGTGTGCTGAGAATTAACCTGGCTGTAGACCCATTCTGCCAGCTGCTCCAGTAATCCTCCAGTAATCTCTACTCTCCCCCAAGAGCTTTTCAGATTAAAACTTGAGTTTTTTTTTTTCCAGTTCCTGGTGCTCACTTCCAGTCATCAGATCTACTTTATGTGTGGGTGGGTGGGCGTGCTGTGTGTTAGAGGGAAATATCCACATGTGCTTTTTCTCTCTTTGTTTGAAGGTCTGGCTCTGGTTTGTTTAATGTATTCACTTTCTGTTTGGCATACCCCTGCAATGAGGCATAGCCGTGCACTGTTGGAAAGAGGAGTCAAAAAAAGAAAGAAAGAAAGACCTGTGTTTTTTCCTGCATGGGAGACTGAACATTTAGATTGTGATGTCTCACAAAGACAGACACTGGAGTTTCATCCATCAGTATCTCTGCAGCATCACTCACACATTTGAATTCATTGTAGCCTCTTTACATATACCTTCAATAGGATGGCATCAAGTGAAAGCTGCAGAGGAAATGTGCAGCAGTTTATCTTGTCTGTGGGTGTTAACCTCTTTATCAAGTCTTAAATCTGCACTAACTGTCTAGGCCCAAAGTCTTCAACTAAGATGGTTAGATAGGTCCTTGGCATGTGGGAAACAAACTTAATTTGGCCACATTACAACAGTATTAATTTATTACCCTGGAGCCACTTTGACCTCAGTCCAGTGTAATTACAGAACCAGCACAAACCCCGATCCAAAGCAAGAAGTCAGTGCTGTTGGTCCCTATGATACACATCATCCCAGTTATTTATTAACTGCTGGTCGGGTGTATGGTTGAGTCAATAAACACACCTCTTTGTGAAGGTTTGTGGGGTGTGTATATTGCCTGTGTGTGCCATAAAAGGACAGGAGAGCATTGTTAGTGAACAAAGTCACATGTCGCCACAAAGGAGGATTGTTGTCATGCAAGTGTTGCGATGGCGACTTGTCCAACCTTTTGTGACTATCTGCCATTCATTCGACTAGTTTCTGCTCTCAAACAAATATCACTTTTCATACATTTTGAACTGAATCTTAGCAGTCTGGTGTATGTTTGATGTAGTACTCGAATGACCTTATATGGTAGTGTTAGGACTGCATGGTTTTCTGATTTGGCGGGTTCAACTGTGGGTATAAATAGCATCTGAAGGATTCTGTTTCTCTGCAGAAGCAACTGATGCACTCTACTGATTAAACAGTTTACCATTTATTTGTGTGTGTGGCTATAAAGATGGGTACCACATAGCTTCTTCCTCTGTTTAAATTACGATGCAGTAGTGGTTGTTTTTGGACTTGGCTTTCTCAATTGTGCCTGACAATTGCAAGTTTGTAGGTGTGAATGTGTCTTTGGTGACCCCATTCACCCACAGCCAAAAATGTGTTAAATTACACTTAGAAGCGTTAAATGGGATTATTAAATAACCTATTTAGTTATGCTTGTTTCCAAGGAAATGAAGTAGATCTAAACATTTGAGATTTTGTAATACTTGACTAAAGATATCTTCTTCAATAGCAAAGCTAAACCTGCACTTTTCTCCACAGAACCGACTGTAAAGAATTCAAAAACTCCCCCTTATACTTAACAGTATTCCTGTGAGGCTCGTGACCCATATGTGGAAGCAGTAGGGAAGAAAAGCAGTGGAAAAAATGAAAACATCCGTATAGTTTATAGTTCCCATCCTCAGAGGCGAGGTCGGGAGTTTGAAGGTCAGGAAGTGCGAGTGTTTGACCTACTTTCGGTCCTTCTCCGTTGAGTGTATCAAATAGACGATTCTTGAAAAGGTAAAATGAGTGAGAGTTGCAGAGAAACTCTTTCAAATTTTATTGTTAACTCGTCACAGCATATCTTTAGGAACAGCTGGAAAGTGCTTTGGAAACTCTATTCCTGGAGCCCCTGTTGGCTGCTCGCCCTGGCTTCCCTGGCATGTGTGGGGCCGTTTGTCTGTGTTTCGTAGTTTCCCTGAAAGCATGGGTTACGCAGGAAGCGTTTCTCGACATTAGCAAAAGTTTCCCCCCTAAATCAGTGGGATTTAGTTGACTTAATGTTCCCAGGACCTTCCCATTTTGTTCTCACGTTTTCAAAGGAGGAGGGAGATAACTCTTGGTGGAAAGCCCAATATTGAGAAATCATCCTCTCCTTATTTTACAATCTCCTGAAGCTCATCGCTTTGTTGCAATCAGCCAGACCTACACTCTCTCTTTTTTAACTGTCATCACACTCAAGCTGACAGACTTCCTCGTCTTTAGAGTCTCCGCCTCTGTGTGCCGGTCACCGTGGTGATGCTCTTATGAGGAATGTCACTCTGGGACCAATCAGCAACTGGTGGTGTGATTGTTCAACTCCTCCCATGCTATTGTCTTAAAGTGGTAGTCTGAACTGTCCCTAGCCTCCAGGTCACAGGAGAGACTGGCAGTGCAGAGGTGATGGAAGAAGACACACAAACACACACAGACACACACACACCTGCTCAGGAGTGTGAAGGGCCTGTGTTAGTTTCACATCCTCATCATTCCTGTACGTTGATGTCCTCTTTGCTTTGACTGGCGGGTTCACTGAGGTGTGATCGTCTCAGGGTGCGAGACCCTACAGCTCAAAATAAACCAGGGTCAATTTAAGGTCGGACAACTTCAAACTCAAACTGAGTAGTGAAGCTCTTGCCACCTGCATGACGTAAAGAGGTGTGTGTGTGTGTGTTTCCTGTCCCATACCTGAAATGTGTCACACCAGTGAGTAACAGAGGTGGGGTGGGGTTTGGTTAAACTTGCTTTCTTTTCATTCCAGTCATATTAATGGTTGCTAGCCCCCGAGCATTGCAGAAAAGATCAACATTAAAAGTACATAATAAAACATAATAAACATAACATAATAATTTTCACATCTACATGTGTTTTTTTAAGTCATTGTCTCTTTTATTTTTCTCTTATATCTTTAGTTTAGTAAAATATGGACTTCCCTGTTTGAACATTTTTAATATTGATTTGTGGTTGTCGGTATGAGTGTCATGGGGGAATAAAGAAAAATAGGACTATTATTTTTTGTTCCCGCCAAGGAAGAGCCTTCTCTGTCGAATTACTTTACATTAATGTCCTCTTAATTCATATCTTGTTCTAAAATGAGCCAGGGAACCACACAGTGTTGTTATCTTAATTTGGTGATTACTCTGAGTTAAGCAAAGACTAAAAGGCATGGTTTTCACACTGTTACTTATCTGAATTTCAGTGGCCTTTGATTTTTTTTGGTCCTGTGTGTAAATATGAGTTAAATATTAACCTCAGGGGTTATTTGCTTTTATTGCTCACAAGCTCACATTACTACAAGGTGCTCACAAACCACAACATGTAAACAGAGCAGTAAATGCTGATAAAGTGAGATCTTGTGATGTTGAATGTAAATGAAGGTGTGAGTTTGTTCTCATGTCACACTGAATGAACTCTGTCTTTTTTTTAATCATTCACAGATGCAGCATCTACATGCAGCTCCACCCAGTTTAAGTGTGGAAATGGGAGATGTATCACCCGCAGGTGGATTTGTGATGGAACGGACGATTGTGGTGATGGAACCGATGAGCTGCCTGCAACCTGCGGTATGTTATTTTATCACTGAGGACCTGTGACTGTAATATATGGGAAATGGACTCAAACTAATGATTATTTTCATTGTGTATTAATCTGACAATCATTTTCTTGATTAATCAACAATCTTTCTTGCAAAATGTCAAAAAATTATGAAAAACAACCATTATGTTTCTAACTCATCAACCATTCAAAAAACAAAGATATTCAGTTCACTATCATATATGACAACGAAAAGAGATTTGAAAGGCTGGAACCAGCATATTGTTTTGCAGTTTTGCTTAAAAATGGAAAATATCAAAGTCTTCTGTTAATTGACTAATAAAATGATAAATAATATCATTTAATTATAATAATAATAAAATCCACGTTTTCAAATAAAGAACCATTCTCTTGACATTCTAGTTTGACCTGCTGACCCAGGTGTAAGAAAATAATCAGCAACAGTTACAACAGTGAATCAAAAACAAATTTATAAAGCTATACCTCTGAACAGTAGTTTCCAGAGGTTAATGATTATTCAATTTTACATCATATTCTACTGCAGTCTCAAGCCTTATCTCTCTGTTAATGTATGAAATCACTTGAGTCATACGTCCTGTTTCTGTCCTCAGCGACCAAAACCTGTCTGGAGTCAGAATTCAGCTGTGGCCCCCCCATGAACCAGTGTATTCCGGGAAGCTGGCATTGTGACGGCAAAGCTGAGTGCGACAACGGGGCTGATGAGAAGAACTGCAGTATGTTTTTCAACCGAATAGAGTTTATTCACCTTATCCGTAACAATGAATGATATTTTAACATCACTGACAGCAATAAAATCTGGATATACAGAACAAACAAAGACACATACAAAGAGGTTTAAACCATTTATATTGTAAACTATTCATTAAACACGGGGAAAGATGTAAGCCCCTGACTTTATCTGTGCAAGTACAGTGTTTAAGTTAAGATAAGATAAAATGTATTTGTCCAGCACAAAGAAACTGATGTGTCACACAAGCAAAAAGATGGAAATAGATATGATAAATATGACCTTACATAAAACTAGAAGACTGTATTATGAGCATCTATTGTATAATATGGACCAAACAAAACAAATATATATTTAATGTGTTAGAAGTGTACTGAAGCAGAAATAACTTCAAATAAAATGAATAGATAAGGGAGTTGCAATAAGTAATTAAATCCAAAAATTGCTCTGGAATGAAACTGGCCAATTAATAATATTGATGTCTTGATATTAGATGCAAATCCGGTATTTAGAAGCAAACATAAGGTTATGATGACAATAAATCACATTAACTCCTCTCTTCTCACCACAGCGGCCAAAGAGTGCAAAGCTGGAGAGTTTCGTTGTGCCAATGGCCAGTGTATATCCAAGACCTTCATCTGCGACAATGACAACGACTGCTCGGATGGCTCAGATGAGGTTTCCTGCCCCAAACCCAAATGCAGTGCTCGGTCCTTCCAGTGCAACAACTCAGTGTGTGTGCCAGCCATGTGGCGCTGCGATGGAGACAAGGACTGTGCCGACGGGTCTGACGAGTGGCCGCAGACCTGTGCCGGAGAGCAGCCAGGCAAGACGGCGGCGCCCTGCTTGCGCCACGAGTTTCAGTGTGCAAATGGGGAGTGTATCCACAGTAGCTGGCAGTGTGATGAAGGCGTGGACTGTGGGGATGGATCGGACGAGGTCAACTGCAGTGAGTTGGCTTTTTTGGGCATTTTCCCATTCCATCCCTGTTCTCCTCTAATAAATCTTCTGACGCATTCATCGAGTTCTTTTTATAGAAAACTGAGCCTGACAGATGTAGCTTATTCATGCTTGAGCATACATAATATCCTGTTGTCATCCACGGCCACCTGCACACACTCACTATCATCAATATTGACACAAGATCCACAATAAAGCACGTCAGGGATGATTTTCTCCTCATTCTATGTCATCTCATTCTTCTTCCCATTACTGTTTGTCACCTCTCACTCTCTCTCTTTCTCCGTCTCTTTTTGACTCATTTGTCATCTCTTTGTAGGTCGTCCTAGTTGTCGTCCAGATGAGTTCCAGTGTAATGACGGCTCCTGTATCCATGGCAGCCTCCAGTGTGACAATAAGGCCGACTGCAGAGACCTCAGTGATGAGATTGGCTGCCACATAGGTGACTCTTCAGCCACACACTTGTATACTGAAGCTAATATTTTGTATCTTAGTGCCCATGGAAAAGTCCTCAGGTCTTTGCACTGCAGTTTCATATCCTTAGATTATAATTAAATCCATACTCCCCTGTTCTCCCCCACAGAAAATTTATGTGAAGGCCCAACCAAGTTCAAATGTGGCAGCGGGGAGTGTATCAGCATGGCGAAGGTGTGTGACACACAGAGAGACTGCAGGGACTCATCAGATGAACCTGTCAAAGAGTGTGGTGAGTCAAGTCTTATTTAACCATGCACCTAAGAGCCAAAAATCTTCAGACTGGGAAGTGTGTTAGAGTATGTGTATACACTCAGCTCCACTGCTGCCTGGAGAAAAAGAAAAAGTGAAACCACATCACAGCGTGGAAAATATGATTGGACCAGTTATAGCCAAGCTACTGGCCTAGATAGTTTGTGGTTTGAATAAGTGAGTTCATTGTCAATTTGAGCTACCATTAGGAAAATGGTTGTGTCTGCGTCTCCACAGGCAATAATGAATGTTTGACCGAAAATGGCGGCTGCTCCCATGACTGCAATGATCTGAAGCTTGGCTACAACTGCTCATGCCCTGCTGGCTATACCCTGAAGATGGACAAGAGAACATGTGAAGGTGAGAGGATGGAGTCTGACATTTGAAATTTAGTCTCAGTCTTTTTTTTTAGAAGTAGGCCTTGATCAGTTTTGGATTATGGACACATATTTCCAGAAACAGCGTATTAGAAACTTTACTTTGTGAAAAAAGGTCCCAGTTTCCCAGCTGCTTGACTTTGTGTTTCTCCACCTGCAGATATTGATGAATGTGCCGAACCGGACACTTGCAGTCAGATCTGCATCAACCTGCCGGGCACCTACAAATGTGACTGCAAGAATGGCTATGAGATCGACCCTGCAACCAAGACTTGCAAGGCTGAATCAGGTAATGTTTGAAAGTGAAAATTTTTGAAATTGAAATGACCTATTGAGATTTGTAGTCCTGTCTGAAGACTCTTCTCTTCTGTGTCCTCCAGGCACCGTACCCACCCTGTACTTCACCAACAGACACGAGGTGAGGAAGATGACGATGGACCGCACCGAGTATGTCAGTGTGATCCCACAGCTGAAAAGTGCGTTGGCTCTGGACATGGATATGCCAAACAAGATGATCTTCTGGTCTGACCTGTCTCTAAAGAAAATCTTCAGGTTAGAAAGACTCTGAAACCTTGTCAGTCTGTGGTCCATTGGTTTAAGTAAGATTGGTTCAAGTGATATCTCCCTCTAAAATGAATCCCTCCACCCTCATCTCCTTCCCAACAGCTGCACGATCGACATGGCCAGTAACTCCTCTCACCACACTGTAGTAATTGGCAGTGGGATTGAGTCCGCAGAGGGTATTGCTGTGGACTGGATCCATGGTAACATCTACTGGACTGACAGGATTTTGAAGACTATCTCTGTGGCAGCAACAGACGGCAGCAAGAGGAAGACCCTCTTCACAGAAAACCTGGAGAAGCCAAGAGCCATCGTTGTGGACCCAGTAAATAAGTAAGTGAAAGTTTTTGTCAGGTTGCAGATCTTGTTTTGCTTCCTGATTATCTGTAATTTGTGATTCCATTGTTTTATGAATTGTTCCGTGTCCTCTTTAGCTTTATGTACTGGACAGACTGGGGTGAGCAGGCTAAGATAGAGAAGAGTGGGCTGAATGGAGCGGATCGTGTTGCCTTGGTGACAGACAACATTTTGTGGCCCAATGGCATCACCCTAGGTAAGCAGAACTTTATTAATTGCATTTAGTGGAACCCGTTAATTTCAATTCAAACTGTATAGTGAGCACACAGTCATGATAACCAGTCAAATCTATCTGTGTCTCTTGCTGGACAGACATGGTCAACCAGCGTCTGTACTGGGTGGACTCCAAGATGCACATGCTCTCTAGCATCGATGTGAATGGAGGGATGCGACACAGTCTCATTTTCAGCGAGGAGAAGCTCTTCCACCCCATCTCTCTGACTGTCTTTGAGGTTAGTGATGAACTAAATTTATCCCCAGATGAAAATGAAGTCACTGAGGATTGAAGGTATTTTGGGTCATGCTGTGACAAAAATGTCTAGGCTGCATAAAATGAATAATTATGGTCTGAATCATAATGCTGCTTCAAAGGAAAATTTGGACCATCCTCATCTTAAAAAACACAATTTCAGTATAAGTGTAGCCTACTTTAGTATGTATTCTGTATCTGTATTTCAAACCAATCATTCAGTAATCCGGTTCATATGCAGTTATCTGGCTGAAATGTTTTAAAGTGTAAAGCCAGAGCTTTAACTGCTATGTGTGCACTTTAATCCTCATAATATTGGATCCATGGTACTTAGTCTTAATCAGAGTATTAATCAGTGTTAATAGTTCGTCCATGTGTGTTTGAGGAACTTCAGCAAATAACTACAGAATTATTCAAGTTGCATTTCTTTCCCTTTAAACAGGAGAAAGTGTTTTGGACAGACATCCACAATGGCGCTGTTTTTAGTGCCAACCGCTTGACGGGAAAGGACATCATCGAGCTGGCAAGGGACCTGGACCAGCCACAGGACATCATACTGTACCACAACCTCAAACAGCCAAACGGTACAGACACATCACTAGATCTGGGAGTTATCATAACAAACAACAAACTCTTAAGACCATATAATGTTTTCTAATACTTATTGTACCTACTTTTCTGCTATGTAGGTACCAACTGGTGCAGAGAGAGTAACAGTATGAATGGAGGTTGTGAGTTTCTTTGCCTCCCTGCCCCTTGGATCAACCAGCACTCTCCTAAATACACCTGTGCCTGTCCTGACAACATGACCATGGGACCTGACATGAGGAAATGTGTGACAGGTAAATGTCCCCTGCACATGGCTTTACAACAATAAACTGATAATTAACACATAATCACCATAGTAACCCTAACATTTTTCTTTCCCAGCAAGCACAGCTCCCCCTCCAGCTGCAGAAAACAAAACGGGTACACCACTCCTGCCTAAAACTTCCACCAAGCCTACTACACCCAGGCAGCCTGCCCCTACCACAACAACTACAACTACAACCACCACCACCACAGCTACTGAAAAACTGACATCTACCTCATCCACCCAGCACACACAGAGCACACAGCTGCCTGCTGCCACTGGTCAAGGTACAGAAAAATGAATTTCTACTCTATGTGATCCCTAACATAATAAATTATAGTGTTAAAGGAATATGTCATTTTCTAAAACAACACTTGCTAAGAGCTAATTGAGAAGAATAATGTCACTCCAATGACTGTACAGTAAATACTGTACTACAACTAGCAGTCAACTTATCTTAGTATAAAGACTAAAACATAAGACAAACCAAAATGTAAAAACAACACGTTGTGGTTTTATGGAGGGTAAAGTGGGACTCTGATGGGGCATATTTTTTTCTCCACTGCTTGCTAAACTAAGCTAAGATAACCGTCTGCTGGCTGTAGCTTCATGCAGTGGGATTTAACACAAACACATGAGAATGGTTTTGATCTTCTCATAAGGAATTATGTAAAGAAAAAACTTATTCTTTGTTTTTTCAGGTAACAGATTGGCAGCAGTGCCTGCAGAAGCCCCTTCATCCCACCCTATTGCTCTCTATGTTGTGTTGCCAATAAGTAAGTTCTACATTTCAGCTCTCCTGTCAAACATGGTGCAATCATGTGCAATCTGTAAATGACCTCCAACTCTTCTCCTGCTCTGCAGTGGTCATCTCCCTGCTGGTGTTTGGAGCAGTGTTGCTATGGAGACACTGGCGTCTGAAGAACACCAACACCATCCACTTTGACAATCCAGTGTACCAGAAAACCACAGAGGACGAGTTACACATCTGCAGGAACAGCTCTGACGGCTATGTTTATCCTCAGGTATCTTCACTTTGGTGCCACTTTATCATTTATCAGTAGATGTTGCCTCTAAAAATGAAAGGATTTATTTTCACAGTTTTGCTTATTCAGTGTTACTTTTTTTTTTACAGAGGCAAATGCTGAGCATGGAGGACATGGATGTTGCATGAGCCAAAGATGAAGAAAACACTAGCTTTATTGAAAGTGATTTTTTTTGCCCGATGCAAACATGAAGAAACAAAGGCCAATTTTTTTCTGCTGCTGCTGCTCAACAACCCCCTCCCTCCCCCAGTGACCTCATTTTGTGGCTTATGTTTCTGACCTCAGCACTGTGCCGTCCAAGTCTGAAGAAAGGCCTGAAAAAAAAACAAGAAGAAGAAAAAAAAAATCTTTGAAATGTATGACAAAATGGAGCCTAACTACAGGAAGCCATTTTGTCAGACCACAATACGTGGTCTAATGTATGGTTTCAGAAGATCATGTTGAAGCTAGGCTAAAACTGTCTGGCTAAGCATCCTGTTATTTAAGAAGGTACAGATGTTTGCTTTCTTTACCACCAACAGGTCGCCTCAGTATGTTGATTACCAAAATACACGTAACTCACAATCTATGTTCAGCAAGTTTAACTTGAAAAGCCTGACCTTTACTGTCTTAACACGTCTATGTGCCTTCCATCCACACTCTGGTGGTTTAGTGAAGTTTATGGGATGTATGTACAGTAAATGCCTTTCTGACCCCACTACCTTCCAAACCAATTACTGTGGTAGTGAATATCATAGTGCTTTAACCCGAGGCAGTGATGGCCCCCATTACAATATATTGTAGCCTTCTCATCTTGTGGATACAGCTTTTCACATTTTGTTGGCTCCGATATCAGAGGCATTTGTCTACTGTCACCCATTATAGTCTTTTTTAGAGGTAAACCACATTTAAATCAGTGTGCTTATGTTACATATGTTTATATTGTGAATGGTAAAGCTGCTGAGTTTTCTGAAGTCAACCAAAATGAAGAAAATGTTTTTTTTTTTTTTTTTAAATGAAGATAGTTAAAGTAAAAACTGATTGTACTGTAAATTGTAACACTGTAAATAATTTCTGTAAATATTTTGTAAAACACTCTTAAGTTCACTCTGGTGTTGCCTTTTTCACGTGTATATTTTAATCAAAAAATGTTGTAAATATGTATGAGATTCTTTTATTTATTTGTAGAAATGTATGAGAAAAGGTTTTAGGTTGTTGTCATCTGGCTTGTAAATACATATAGTGCATATTATATGAATGAATTGTGCTTGTTCCAGCTAGGCCAGTTTAACCTTTACATTGTACAGCCATTATTTAACTTATGTTCAGTCAAACCTTTTGACACCTGCTCAGTTTTGTGTGTACGGCATCCTGTATCCTGAGTCCCTGCTGTAGGGCCGTGCTTATCATTTTTGACTGTGTACTACATGTTACTGGAAAATGCTGAAGAACCTCTCTTTGTTCCTTACACCACACCACTGTTTGTTTCTTTCTCAGTGGAAAATTCCATAATTTATTTTGCTACTGCCTTTCTCTTGCTATACACAGTCTGCAGAGGATGATGTTCTCCATCACAACAACTTGTTTTTACAAACCTTTAGGTTTTATTCACAAAAGCCTCCACACTGCTTTGTTTATTTTTGGCCTTGTTGGCTTTTTTTTTAATAAAAGAAGAAAAACACATTTACCTGTCTCTCATGTTAATGCTGGTCAATTTTACAAATGGGGAAAAAAGTTGTATCCTGCATTACTTGCATAAAAAAGTCATAGTATACTAAAGTATAAAAAAGTCATAGTATAGTAAGGCATTAAAATCGCCAAATAATCTAATGCGAGTGACTTTGGACTGTGAAGCTGGAGTACCTGGGGAGAACCCATGCAAGCACAGGGAGAAAAAACTCCACACAGAAAATATCACAGTATAAAAAGACATAAAAAGACATAAAATAAAAAGTTACAGTATAGTAAGGCATAACAATGTAATAAAACATCATACCGTAGTTAGGCAAGAAAATGCCATTGGAAGGGATAAAAATCATCAGAATAATAAGGCATACGAAACGTCATAGTATAGTAAGGCATAAATAAAATCATTGATTAATGATTCATTAAAACATCATGGTATAATAGGATGTACAAATGTCATAGCATAGTAAGTAGTATAGTAGGATAAAAAACGTGATAGTGTAGTGATGCATAAAAACATCGTGGTCGAAGAAGACATAAAAAACTCACAGTAGAGTAAGGCATAAAAAGCTTCATAGTATAGAAAGGCATAAAAACGTCAAATAAATGTGATAGTATAGTAAGGCATAAAAATGTTGTGGTATAATAAGGCATAAAAACTGTCATAGTATAGTAAGGCATAATAACATCATAGTATAGTAAGGCGTAAGAAACATCATAAAAACATAGTAGTAAGGAATAAAAAAACATCTTAAAAACGTCATAATATAGTAAGGGATAAATAACATCATCGTCCAATAAGGTATTAAAATGTCAGGGTATAACAAGGCATTAAAAAATTATAATAAAAGTATAATAAAGCATTAAACCATCAGAAAACATCATAGTATGGTAAAGTATGAACATGTCATGATATAATAAGGCCTTAAAAGCAAAAAAAAAAGACATAGTATAGTATTGCAAAAAACGTGAAAAAACTACATAATATAGTATAGCAAAATAAAGTGAAAAAATGGACATAGTATAGTATAGCAAAATAAAGTGAAAAACGACATAGTATAATTAGGCATAAACACATCAAATATAGTCATAGTATATAAGGTATGAAAACGTCATGGTAAAGTAAGGCCCTAAAAGTGAAAAAAACGACATAGTATAGTATGGCAAAAACAGTGAAGAAACGATTTAGTATAGTATGACAAAATAAAGTGAAAAACAACATAGTATAGTGAGGTATGAAAACGTCATGATAAAGTAAGTCCCTAAAAGTGAAAAAAACGACATAGTATAGTATGGCAAAAAAGTTGGTAAAACGACAAAGTATAATAAGGCATAAAAACATCAAAAACGTCATAGTACAGTAAGGTACAAAGACGTCACAGTATAATAAAGCCCTAAAAGTAAAAAAAAAAGAAATACTATAGTATGGCAAAAAACATGGAAAAACCACATAGTATAGTATGGCAAAATAAAGTGAAAAATGGCATAGTATAATAAGGCATAAAAACATCAAAAAACATAACAGTACATTAAGGTACGAAGACTTTATACTATAATAAGGCACTAAAAGTGAAAAAAAAAACATAGTACAGTACGGCAAAAAAATTGAAGAAACGATATAGTGTAGTATGGCAAAATAAAGTGAAAAACTACATAGTATAGTAAGGTATGAAAATGTCATGGTAAATTAAGGCCCTAAAAGTAAAAAAACGACACAGTATAGTATGGTAAAAAACATCAAAAAACGACATAGTATAGTATGGCAAAATAAAGTGAAAAACATCATAGTGTAGTAAGGCATAAAAACGTCATAAAAACGTGATAGTATAGTAAGGCATATAAAGTGCCATAAAAATGTAACTGTATAGTAAGGCAAATAAAATGCCATAAAAATGTCATTGTATGGCATAAAAAAACATCTGAAAAACAATAAATAACATCATAGTGCAATATGGTATTAAAACGTCATGGTATAACAAGGCATAAAAAACTTCATAGTATAGTAAGGCACAAAAATGTCAAAGTATAGTAAGGCATAGACGACGGCATAAAAACGCCATAGTATACAAAGGGATAAATGAAGCTTAGCGAAAGTTCAGTCAGGAAGACTATCTCATTGCTCATGCCTTCTAACAAGCAACATTTCCCACTATCTAAAACCTCAACCCACTGATTCACATCTTTACCCAATCACAACCTTATACGGTGGCTTTCAGCCAATGTCCCATAAGCTGTCAAACTTTAAAATTGTCTCTCTCTCTGCTGTCATTCAGCTGTCATTTCAGCACCGCAAAATAATCTGTGACCCACCTCTACCCCTTCTCCACTTTAACCATGGACGACAGACCATCTCCAATCAAACAATCCAATCAGAAGTTTCCTCATCAAGACGTTTCCATTCCTGAGCTCCATTCCTCATCACCACCACCAGTATCTAGACTGCGGGGGAAGATTCCTATTATTGGAAGGACCTTAAACCTGTGAATCTTGTTCATAGTGATCCATTTCCTGACAGGGTCTGAGCGCTAAAAATCTATTCTTTCTGTTCACAATAAATTTAATTTTACTTTCCTTCTCATACTCTCTTGTTCTTCTTATTAGTCTCTCCTGATTGAAAGAACGTCATAGTGTAGTAAGGCATAAAAACACCATAGTATATTAACTGATAAATAACGTCATAGTGTAGTAAGGCATAAATTGTGAAAAAACGACATAATATAGTATGACAAAATAAAGTAAAAAAACGACATAGTATAATAAGGCATAAAAATATCAAAAAACGTAATAGTATATTAAGGTACAAAGAATTTATAGTATAATAAAGCCCTAAAAGTGAAAAAACAACAAAGTATAATAAACCATAAAACCATTAGGGAACATCATAGTATGAAGACGTAATGGTATAAAAAGGCCCTAAAAGCAAAAAGAAAACGACATAGTATAGTATGGCAAAAAACATGAAAAAACGACATAGTATAGTATGGCAAAATAAAGTGAAAAACGACATAGTATAATAAGGCATTAAACCATCAGAAAACATCATAGTATGGTAAGGTATGAAGACTTTATAGTATAATAAAGCCCTAAAAGTGAAAAAACAACAAAGTATAATATATCATAAAACCATCAGGAAAAGTCATAGAATGGTAAGGTATGAAGACGTCATAGTATAGTATGGCAAAAAACATCAAAAAATGACATAGTATAGTATAGGAAATGAAAGTGAAAAACGACATAGTGTAGTAAGGTATGAAGATGTCATGGTATAATAAGGCCCTAAAAGCAAAAAAAAAAAAACGACATAGTATAGTATGGCAAAAAACACGAAAAAACGACATAGTACAGTATGGTAAAAAACCTGAAAAAATCACATAATATAGTAAGTTATGAAAACGTCATGTTAAAGTAAGGCCCTAAAAGTAAAAAACAACAACATAGTATAGTATGGAAAAAAACATGAAAAACGACATAGTATAATAAGGCTTAAAAACATCAAAATCATCAAAGTACAGTTAGGTACAAAGACGTCATAATGAACGTTTTGATGTTTTTATGCCTTATTATACTATGTCGTTTTTCATGTTTTTTGCCATACTATACAATGTCGTTTTTATTTACTTTTAGGGCTTATTATACTATGACCTCTTCGTACCTTGCTGTACTATGACGTTTTTGATCTTTTTATTGCCTTATTATACTATGTTGTTTTTCATTTTAATTTGCCATACTAATACTATGTCGTTTTTTCATGTTTTTTGCCATACTATACTATGTCATTTTTATTTACTTTTAGGGCTTTATATTACTATGACATCTCGTACCTTGCGTACTATGACGTTTTTTGATGTTTATGCTTTATTATACTATGTTTGTTTTTCATTTTATTCTGCCATACCTATCTATGTCGTTTTTTGTTTGACTTTTTAGGCTTTATTATACTATGAG